GGCGACCCCCCCGGCTCAGGGTGGAGCTCACCCACCTGTCCGCGGGTGAGGGCAGGTAAGGACAGGACAGTGATGGCAAGGTGGGACCAGGGGTGGCCTCGAACCCAGGCCTGATCCCTTTCCTCAGCCACATGCCTCTGCCAGGGCCCCCTGCTCCTCTCCTCGCTCCCCACCCCCACCCATTCCCAGGCCCCTAGCCCTGCCTGGGCATCCAAGCTCCAAACCAGAAAAACTAGACGAAGAACAAACAAGCCCACACTGCAGCCGTTACCGTGTCCAGCACGAGCAGGGCCGCGGAGCTGGGGGCCCTGAGAGTCAGGCGGGGATGGGTAGTGGGACGGGGCGGGGGGTGCAGATCACGGTCCCACTCTCCAGCTGGCATCCAGTGCCCCCAGGTCGCCCTGTCCTGCATCCCCACCCGGCTGCTCCCATACCAGGCACCACCCTCCGAGGCGGCCCTGCGCGTTCCCCGGGATAGGCTTTCTAGTCACCAACCTGCAAAGCAAGAACCGCAAAGCTCACTGTCCTGGGTGCAGCGAGCTGCCTGTGGGGCATGAGTGTCTCATGGCTAGGGCGCGTGCGCAGGGCGGGAAGACTGCAGCCAGGGGGGCTGTAGAGGGGAGGCGCAGGATGGAGGGGATGGCCAGTTTCCCCGGGGCCTTTTCGGACATGAGTCTCTGGACCCAGGATTCCCTCCTAGAGCCCCAGCTTCCAGAATTCTGACCTCAGGGATGGCAGCATGTCATGTGGCGAGCACAGTCCAGGGTACGTTGTAGGTGCTGGACAGACACTCATTTTTTTTAATCAACAAACATCCCAGTGGGGGCCAGGGGCAGCCAGATGTCTTGAACCCATCAGCCTCCACTCTGCCCTCACCCTGCCCTGCCCTTCCATGCCACCTCTGAGGGCCAGGCCAGACCACCAGACCCCTGTGGCGCCTTGGACAGGCCTCCCCACCCCAGCACCTGCCACTCCTGCTCCACTTCCCTTGCCCATAACTTTGGTCCAATAGGGAGGAAACTATTGATTTGTATTCAAGGAACTGGGACGATCACAGTGGAAAACGAACAAGGATCCATGTCTCAGGCTGCTTGGCAGTTTTCAGCGTATTTACAGATTCTTAGCTGGACGGTCTCCTCTCAACAGGAAGGAGTAGGAGAGAAGGCTTTGCTTGAAGGGAACAGTAGAGCAAGTTGGCTGGTGAGAGCCTTGTCCAAGGGCGCCCAGTGGGCATCCAGGACTTGCCCAGTAGAGGGGGATGCAGCACTGGGCTCCGAGACCAGCCAGGGTGGGACCTGGCCTGGAGCCCAGGATGCTGCCTGAGGGAGCTGGGAGGGCAGCCGAGCCCCACCTGCCTTCCTCAGAGCCCTGGCCTCAGTGATGGGGGGCTCAAGGGGGCCTTGGCTGTCAGGCCAGGAGCAGCTTGATGCGGGGACCAGCATCAAGAGATCCAGAAGGGGATTCTGAGGACCTGGAGTCTGGCCCCATCAGCCAGGCTGGTGGTCAGCTCAGAATAGCCCGGAGTAGAGGGTCTGGGGGTTGTGCAAGGATGAGAATACCAGGCAGGGAGAGGCCAAAGGGTGGGGGGGGGGGACCAGAAGGACCCCTCAGGGGTGAGGGACAGAGGGATATTGGGCAACCCAGACAGCATTCCGAGCATCCGCTCAGTGACCCCACGCGGCCAGATGGATGATCGGTCACCATGTGGGGCTGCAGGGCAGGCCTCGGGCTGTGGGCGGTGCTAAGGGCTCAGCCACATGGCCAGCGCTGGGCGGGCCTGCCCTTTCTGGGGGCCTGGCAGCAGCCTCAGAAGTGGGGTGAGGGTGAGGGCAGGGTCCAGGGTTTACTCTGAACAGGGCGGGCCAGGCACCCAGCTGTCCTGTGAGGACACGCCACCCCACCCTTGGGCCTTGCCACCGGACATTCACATGACCCACATCTGGCTGCCTGCCCGGCCGGCACCCCTGCCAATCACACTGACCTTCCTCCCACTGGCACCTGCTGGGGACTGACAGAGGTCTCTATTCCCGGCCAGGCGCCTGCTCTGGTTATATTTAGGACATGGTTGGGGGTGGGGGGGCCACTGACCCCCTCCCGGGCCCCAGAACAGGGGCAGCTGGGGCTGGGCAGTCTGCCCAGGCCCAGCCTGATGGCTTGGGTTGAGCTGTGAGGCGCAGGTTGCTGCCTGTGGGGCCTTTCCCTCGGCTCCTCGCCCTCAGTTCATAGTTGCATGCAGGCTGAGAGGCCCAGGTTCTGGCCGTGGCTCACATGGGAAACTGAGGCAGGGCGGAGGTCTGAGCACCTGGCCAGGGCCACCGAACAAGGCTGGCTGCTGGAAACTGCAGGAACTGAGCCCCAGGTGGGAGCCCAGGAGCTCCAAGTAGGGGCTGGGGGGAGGCTGACTGGCCTTTCAGCTCCTGAAGCTCAGACATCCGTGAGGTCATCCCCTCCTGGGACCTCCCAGGGCCCTGCCTGAGGGGGACACTGAGCCCCAGGCCCTTCCTGCTCTCCGGGGCTGGAGCCCTCTCCCTGCCGCTGCCTGGGCAGGATGTTCCCTGGGAGGAAATGGCCTCTGAGAGGCCACCCCATCCCTGCTGGAGTCCAGGGCCACTTCCTGCCCTGCATGGGCCTTGGTCCTGCCCCCAGGTCTGCCAGCCCAGGCCAGACCCAGACTTCCTGCCCCCAGCAGCGTGGAGAGGCCAGGACGGCTCAGGCGGGCCCACCCCGCAGGCACCATCCAAGCTCACCAGAGCTGAGGGCCTGAGAGCCTCCACCTGAGACCCCAGATCCCCGCCCACAGACCCTCCTCCCACGCTCCAGCTCCCGCATCACCTGCTGCTCCCACAGTCCATTTCAGTGGGGGACCACGGCCGTAACCATCTCCAGCCTAGCTCTAGAAGCTGATGGCTGACTCAGGGCATCACCTTGGCCGTGGCACAGGGGGCCCATCTGGCACCCAGAGGGTTGAACCAGCAGGCTAGCCTGCATCCAGAGGGTTCTCTGGCAGAGAGTATCAATCACCCTGCGCTGGGGGCAGCCCTGTCTCCAGGAGAGGTCCCTCCTTGGCCCAGGCCTCCCCCTCTGCCCAGACCTCTCACCCGCCAGGTCAGCTTCCTGCCGCCTCTGACCCTAAATCGGGGCAAGTTGCCCAGGCATCCCCTCTGCCCTCCGCCCCGGAAAACACATAGCTGGGGGTCGTGGAGCCATGGGACTGAGTTGGAGGAGCTGAGGGCAGGGCTGGGGGCTCTGGAGGGAAGTGGGCGGCCCCGGCCCAGCCTGCTCTGAGGTTCAGGAAGTGGGGGTCTCAGAAGCTTCCTCTTGGCCAGACGTGCTCCCGGTGGGGCTGGGCAGCTGGGGGGCGGGGGCGGGTCAGAGGCCTGGCCACAGCTGCCCCTTCCTCTCCAGCCGGTCACCAGCTGGGTGGCCTGTGCTGCTGCAGGCCTTGGGCTGGGTAGATGGGTATCCTTTGGGTTTTGCAGGTGGTCGCCAGGCGGGGCCGGGAGGTCTCTGAGCCTGCCAGTGCTGTAGGCTGGTCAGCTGTGGCCTCTGTGGGGCTGTCAGCACCATGGGCACATCCGGCTCTGCCCGGTGGGAGTCGCCAGCAGCTGGGTGCTGCGGAACCCAGGAGCGCCCGGTGGGGCCCACCTCAGCCAGGCCTGTGTTCCCCCCGGCCAGAATTCCCCTGAGCCTGTTGACCCATCTGCAGGAGGGGATCATCCCCACCCCACTGATGGCAGGGCCGCCAACAAAAGCCGGGGCAGGGATAGCTGGGGCAGGGACCCCAGGGCCTTCTGGGTCAGTGCAGCGGACCCAGGCCCTCTCAGACCCCCGAGACCTGTGATCCCACTGCCCAGCCTTCCTTCCCACCTGAGACACTCCCCGTGTGCCTGCCTGACCCTGCCCCGAGCTCGGCGCCATGCCCTGCACGGCCCACTCCGGCTTTGCAGAGGGGAGGCCCTGTGAGGCCGAGCACACAGGGAGGTGCCAATAAAGGCTTCAAAGGATCCCAGGCTGGCCAGGTCTAGAGTACAGGCCGAAGCAGGGGGCCTGGCCCTTGGCGAGGCAGGTGGGAGCTTACAGAGGCCCCCGCCCTCAGGTGTGTCAGCCCACCCCTAAGCACACCAATGTGGAAACTGAGGCTGGGGTCCCCCCGGGGCTCCGGCCTGGGAATGTCTCCAGGTAGAGCGAGGCCAGCACCACGGCTCTCAAGAGTGCGTCTGTGCCTGTGTCTAAGGCTTCACCGGCCCCCGCCTCCGGCCCACACATGATGGGCGGTCGTCCATCAGCGAGGCCAGCCCCTCTGGCCATCCATCACCAGCCGGCGGCCACAGGAGGAACGGCCTGTTTGTTTTGCCAGCTCCGTGTCGCTCCCTGGGGCAGGGGCCGGAGGAAATGGCCATTTTCTGCCTGGGCGGGCGGGTGGACAGCAGAGGTGTACAGGGCACCAAGGGCAGGGCCAGGATGGATAGTGGCAGGACCCCTGGCTGGGCAAGGCCCCTCACAGACGCCAGAGGCCTCGCCTTGCTCTGTACCTCAGTCTCCCCTCTAGAACCAGGGCGAGTGACATTGGGATCTTCTGACTGTTCCCACAGCAGCTGTCTCCGGCCAGGTCACTCACCCCTGCCCCTTGCCACTGGGTGGGGTGGGCTCAGGTGTCAGCTGCTACCAGGTGGGGGGTCCCTTTGTCAGAAATCCAAGATGCTTGATGCTGGCTGTTGCGTATGGCTGCGATGAGCTATTCTGGGACGAGGTCCGGGCCACAGACCAACTGGTGGGGTGGAGTGGGGTCGGGGTGCTGCCAGGAGCTCAGGAAGGGCCTGGGCACCTCTTTGAAGACATCCAGCCTCAAGATCAGAGCCAGGGATACTTGGGGCCATATTAAGAGAGGCAGCTCATGTAGAATGGAGGAGGTGACAGGTGATACCAAGAGGGCAGTATCCTTGGCATCTCCACCATGACCATCATCACTTCGTGAAGTGTGTATATAACAGGTACAATTTATTGACCTAATGCTGGTCACCGACCAATGATCGCTACTCACAACAATAGCCTCTGAGGCCCCCCCTGGGCTGACCTAGGACACATCCTCCAGCCTCAGACCTCTGCCCTTATGCCCTGATCCAGAACATGGTTAGTCCTCACTTCCCCAGTCCTGGGCTGGGAGGGAGGAGGGCTCAGGCTCCTGCTGGGCCGATGGACAAGTGGGCTCCAAGGTCCTCAGCATCCAGGCCCCAGGTCAGCAGCCCCTGGGCAGCTGACAGGCAGAGAACAGACTCCCGCCAAGAGTCCCAGGAGGAAGGCCAGGAGCCCAAAGCTGGAATCAGGAAAATGCCCTTCAGATCCAGTGCAGCAGCCCCATGTCCCCTGCCCCCTCCTCCCTTCCCAATGCTCCCCTCCTTTGCTTGACTCCCAGACACTCTGCACAACTTCACTTCTCTTCTCCATCTGGGAGCAACAAACCTCCTTCCAGAACTTTCTCCCCTAGACCCGGGCTGCTTCCTTTGTCCAGGGACAGCCCTGCAGACATCTATAGGGTAGCTCCATGTTCCAGCTCCCCAGACTGAAGGGGCAGTCTCCCCTGAAGGCAACCTGTGGCTGGGTTTAGCAGATGGTAGGAAAGAATCCGCAAACATTTCCTCTAAAATGATGAGCAGTTGTCTTGACCTTGTCGGAGGTGCTTAGGGGAGCAGCGACACCTGAGGCCTCGGGGACCTCTCTGGGCGCTCTGCTAAAGGGGCCAGTTCCACCTTCCCCCACCAGTGCAGGCTGACTTCCCAGCTCTCAGCCCTGATCCAGCTGACCAAAGCGAGCTGAGCCCCATCCATGTGCCACCTTCTTGCGGAAACATTTGAGGCCACCTACCGAAACAGCTTGGACCGGCCTTGCTGCTCACCGCTGCTGTCCACGTGTGGGCCAGACTGGCCCCCTGATTCACTTCTCGGCCTCCTGGTTCCCAGCCTGGAAGGGAACAGTGACACCACTAGCAAATGCTCTGCAGTGAGTACCACCTCCCCGCCCTACCCTACAGAGTGCAGGGCCCAGCAGGTGCAAAGGGCTACAGTCCCATGATGGGTTTGTCACCGGGGACAGAACCATGGCACAGAGCCAAGGAGGAGGGGCCACATGGCCAGGGGCCCGGACGGGAGCCAGGACCCAGACAGGTGGGCAATTCAGAGAGGGGCCTGCCATGGAATTGGAAGGAAAGCCGGGCCTGGGGAGTCCCAGGTGCTCCCACTTCCCTTCGCCTTTGTTGGAGGGCCACCTTGGTTTCTCTGTTGGGCACCTCGGACCCTTGCATCCACCCCGGGGCCTGGCCATTCCCAGGGAGGCCTGAGACAGCCTGGCGCCGCCCGTACGCCTGCCCAGCATGGGGCGGCCTGGGTGCATTAGGTCCTGGCAAACACCCTGGAAGGAGGGGCTAGGTTGGCTTGGGACACCAGTGAAAGCTCGCATCTGTCTGTCTGTCCGCCCAGCACAGCTGGCGCCAAGCACCCACTTAGCAGGACGGGGCAGCCGGCGCCTCCATGCTGCCCACGTCCCCTCCTGTCCCCACTGCCTGGTGGCCAAGGCCAATTTCACACCCCTCTCAGCCTCAGTTTCTCTGTCAGTGGGAGCCCCCTTGGTGGGTAAAAGAGCAGGCGCCAGTGCCTCCCTTCCGTCCGGGTCTCTGTGGAGGGCTGGCCAGGAGAAGCTGAGGGGGCCGGCTAGGCCAGGGGCCCCTCCCTCCTCCTCCCCGCCCCCCATGGGGTGACTGCAGGGCCAGGGACAGCACAGTGGGTCCGTGGGGATCCAGGCCCGGGCTTCGGAGCCGCAACGGTGACCCAGCCCCTGCCCCGCCCCGCCACCAACGGCTGTTTAGACAGCAGGCAAGGCCGGGCGCCCTCCACATCCACACAGACGCAGGCCAGACCCTCTGGGCCGCGAAGGCAGGGGCCCAGGGGGAGGGGTGGCCAGAAGAACCGGCTCCGGCTCCGGCTCCGGCAGGGGACCCATCCCAGGACCGACTCAGGGAGCGGGCGGGCAGGCAGGGGCTCCCAGTCTGGGGGGCCTCAGGGCTGTCAGGCTGTCCCCTCCCCGCAGCTGTCTCAGCTCCCACCTCCCCCGCCCGCCCCCAGGACTCCTATTTCACTGAGGAGATTAAGACCACCTGGCGAGAGCCCCCTCCGCCCCTCCCCTCCCCCAGCCCTCCCTCCTAGCCCCTTCTGCCCCTTGAGGTGCCTTCCTGCCCGCCCCCTCACCCGCCTCCCACCCCCGCGTTCCCACACGGCCACGCGGGCCCTGCCCCTGCACCTCAACATCACCCCCAGCGCTGCTGTGCCGGCTACCTGGGGTCAGCCCCCCAGTGCCCCATCCCCTGAGCCCCCGACCCTCCGGCCCCCACAGCCCTGCCTCATCCGGGCACATCACCGGTCACTGTCCCCACGTCCAGCTGGGCCCGCACCAGGCCAGGTGTCCCTTGTGTTTGGCGCCGTCCGCGGCCTCCTGCCTCGCTTGCGGGGTCTCCAAAGGGAAGTGGGGTGGCCCGGTGCTTCGGGTCAGCTCTGAGCCTGGTACCCCCACTCCGCTCCAACAGCCAGGGACCCGGGGGGCTCAGCTGGGGGCCCCCGTCCAGCCTGCCTGGGGGCGGCCGGCCGGGCTGGATGCTGGCTCAGACAGACGGGAGGAATCTGAGCTCTGAAAACCGCAACTGAGCTTGCCTGTTTGTTTGCTTTTGAGAAATTCCAACCTGATTCAGCAGAGTCTTGGAGGAGGGAAGGGATTTGTCTGGCTGGGGTGGGGTGGAGCTGTGCTTGTGAACATGGGGAAACTGAGGCTGAGTCTAGACACCTGGGCCAGGTGTGAAAGCTGGGCAGAGTGTTTAACTGGGCTTCTCGGGGACACAGCCACCACTGCTCCCCACTGGGCCACTGAATCCCAAGCCGGGCCTGGCGGCCCCACAGAATCACAGAGGCAATAGCTGTCCTACCCAGTCTGGGGGGGGGAACCAGTTGAGATTTGGGGGGCTGCCCAAGGAGGCCAGGGCCGTTGCAATGGCGGTATCAGTTGAGAAACCATGTTTAAGAGCTGACACAGCTCCCTGCATCTGCACTGTGGGGCCTTGAGAATTCTCCCCATTTCTCAGACAGGAACACTGATGCTTGGAGAGGCCAAGGTGCATCTCAGACACAGAACACCGCAGAGTGAGGATCACGCCTGGCCCCAGCTCGTGATGACTGAGCCGCCCCTGGTTCCACCCTGCTCCAAAGGGCCGAGAAGACCTAGTCCTGCCTAACAGAGTCAATTCTCCAAAATGGTAGCACTGGCTTTTTCCCCAGCAGCTTCCCCCCAACGCACACAGCCTTCTTCCAGAAAGGCCGGAGACCAGGCAGGGCTGGAAATCTGCTGGGAGTGGCATCCACCACCAAGGTCTGGCTGCCTCCCCAGATCTCCAGGGGGCCTCAGTCTCCCATCTATCTGTTGGGTGCTGGCCCTTGGTGGGGGAGCCCGCATGCTAGAGCCTTGCCCATTGGGCCACCATGCCCTCACACTAACTCTGCTATGATAGCAGCGTTCCTGCCACCGACCCCAGACTGGACAGTCCACCTGCCTCCTGCCTTCAGCGCCAGGTCAGCGGGCGGAGAGAACCAGGGTGGGCCTGTTGAGGGCAGTGGGTGCAAAGGCTCTGGCTGCCAGGCTTACGGCAAGCTGAATGAATGGTCCTGGGCTAATGGGGACCATCCAGCAGCCCTGGGGGCTCAGCCAGGGAGCAGAGTGGACGAAGAGGGGCACAGGTGCAGAGCCAATTCTCCACTGCACTTGGACCAGATTTTGACACAGAGCTGCTCCAAATAGTCACGCTTTGTTGTCACAGTGAATATGTGGACAACTTGAGTTTAATTTCTAAAACATTTAACAAAAATTCCAAGTTAGATATATTTAATTATTTCAAATGCTCTAAGTATCCATAAGAGGAGATCTTATAGATCAAAAACTATAGGGGAGCATGCCCTCACTAGCCCCTGTTAATAGTGGTGCTGGTGTAACTGGCTTCACGGCCATTCTTCATTGTCTCTGGCCCTGTCCCCAGTTTCTTACTTTTTGGAGCCTCCCAGGGCTCATGTTGGCCACCAAGCCTGATGCAGGGCTGGGGCCTGAGCGTGGAGACCAACCTCCCAGGTGATTCCACCCAGAAGGATCCCTGTTGGGAGAGTCTTACTGTACCCACCACTGAGGGCATCATCCCGGTGGGTAGACCTCCCTGCCCTGGGGTATCATCTTAGTGTGTCACACCTTCAGGAAATTGCCCAGCAGGGGTGGACTGCCACGTTTTATTCTTCCTTCATCACGTGGTACCTGCAGCTCCCCACGGACCTCATCCAAGTCAAGTAAATCTGAGCTCCACTTGAGTTAGTGACATGAGTGTCGCAGACACTGAAGACTCGGCACAGTGGCCACTGGGGGGTACACTTGCACACACATGTGTGCCCGCATATGTGTTCTGCACATGCCGACATACGCACTCTAGTTTGTACGGGAGTCTGTACACGAACACATGCGGGTCCTTGTGCACACGTGTATATACTGTATGTGGTTCTGTGCCCCTGCTCACAGGTATGCGTGCTTGTGTCCAGTGTGTGCACAAGTACACGTGCGTCCCACACTTAGATGTATGTGTGGGTGTGTGCACACATCTGCAGGTGTGCTTGTGTATGTGTGTGGTGTGTGCGTGCATGTACATTCATGCCCGTGCTCGTGAGTGTGTCAAGGCCATGTGGTGGTGTCGAGGCCATGTCAGTGCCTGAGAAGGGGGCGCTGGCTCCCCCGCTCACCAGAGGAACCTGAGGAGCTCTCCATCTTCTGGCCACTCACCTTCAGCGAACACACCCCAGGAACTTCTGGGACCTGTCCCTTTCCCCGGAAAGTGTAAGTCCTCCTGTCCTGCCTGGCCAGAGAGGGCACGCAAGGGGCGCTGGAGAGGCTGGTTGCCTCAGTCCCGTCATTGGTAGGCCGCCTAAATCTGTCACCTGGGATTCTGAGCCCCGCCTCTGCCTGAAGGCACCTGGGGTGGAAGGGCTGGTGTGACCAGGAGATGGACAGACAGATGGACAGCCGGCTCCCCATGTGGCTGGGTCCTCCTGCCAAGTGGGCAGCTAAATCAACAGGCCCAGAAATTGGAGAGGGGCCCAGGGCCTGGCTATGCATCAGTCTGTTTGTTTGTTTGTTCTGGAGTTGTGGGAACTTCCAGACTGCAGGAGGCCCTAGTGGCTGGTGGGGGGGGGGGGGTGGCTATCGCCCAGGCCTAGCTGACAGCCACATCCGGCCGCCATCCCTCTCACCATCTCCCCGCCAGGTCCCCCTGAAGGGCAGCACCCACAGTGAGGGGGCGCAGCTAGGCCCCGGGTAGAGGGAGGCTCTAAGCCAGCTCTGCACCCCCTCCCGGCTCTGAGGGGCCTGGTGTCACAGGGGGAGGGTCCCGCTGTCCTGCTTTCTCTTCTCCCCACTACTGCCATCCCCTCTGGTATCCACCCATCGACCCTCAGTTCCCGTTTGCTCACCTGGCAGGGGCTAGTGTTTGCACGAGTCTCCAGGGCCCAGGCGCCAGCACTCCAGAGCCTCAGCAAGCCCTGCTCTAGGACCACGGGCAGGTGGCACTGGGGTCCAAAAAGAGTCCCCGGGATGTCACTGGGGCAGGGAGAGGGCCAGCCCCTTCCCTAGTCAGGCTTCAACTCCCTCCCAGCCCTGTCCTCTCCAAGCCACCAGAGCACACACCAGGCTGTGTCTAACTCCTGGACCTCTACCAAGTACTTCATAGGATCCGCTCAGCCAGCTCACTTGGGCATCCCCGCAGAGTCCTCTGTCCCCTCAGTGTGAACCCCACTGTGGGCCCAGACCCCCCAGCCAGGGCTTCTGCCGGCTGCCTGCCACCCCCCAGAATCAAGGACTGGGCAGCCACCCATCCTCACCCACAGAGCCCAGCACCAAGCAGGGAGCCTGGGGGGGGTGGCTCACCAGGACTTCTGCTTCGCAGGGGGAGGGGCATGGGGAGGGAAGGGCTGGGGAGCAGTTAGAGGTGAACCGGGCCACTGCTCTTCCAGACACACTGAGTCCTCAAGCTGAGACAGGGATTTGCTTCCTGCAACTTTGCAGGATGGTGTCACAGACGTGAGGGGTGCAGCACAGTGCAGGACGGGGCAGGAAACTGCTCTTGCCCCCAACTAGGGGCCCAGGCCACACCACAGCCCCTGAAGAACCCCCCACCGCCCGGAGTGCCAGCCCAGCACCCAGAGAGTTTCTAAGCCATGGCATGTAGTCAGCCGGTGCTCGGGCAAGCAGCACCCCACACAGGGTGCCCACTGACAGTGCAACTTGGGCTCTGAGGCTTTGATGCGGACCCTGGGGTGGGGGTGGGGGGAACAACGACAGAGCCCAACCCTCCTCAGCGAGGAGCTGGAGGTTCTTCTCCCCCATCGGTGGCCAGTGGCCAGAAAGAAGGTGAGAGGCTACAGCCCAACCACTGTGCAGAAAGCGTGGCAGTAGCAGCCCCACCTGTCCACCTCCAGAGCTTGGGGTCCCCACCTGTCCACACGAGCACCACCCTGAAAGCTACGTTTGCAGCGTCAGGGCCAAAGGACCTTCACTGAATGAAGGAATGATGGGGCACGCCCCAGGGGCCAAGAATCTTCTGCGTCGTCGGGCGGCAAGGTGGGGAGGGAGCTGAGAAGGGAGGACAGAGCTACCCACTGTGCCCGCCGCCCCTCTGGGCTCCAGCAAAGATTGCGTCCCTCCCACCCACCCCCACTGCTGCCCTGTGGAGCCCAAGAAGTTTCGATCCAGCGCTGACTGAGGCCGAGAGGCAGGGTCCAGGGTGTTCTCTGGTGCAGGACCTTCCTTTGAGACCCCTGAGGCCACGTCTGAGCAGACACTTGTGGCAGTTCCTGGCTAATCTTTCCTAAAACGATTTAATGTGATCAGGTAATGCCTAAAGCCGGCTCTTCTCTGTCTGTGCCCTGGGAGGTGCAACAGGGTTCCGGCCCGACCCAAAATCTGGTTCCTGGAGGAGGGGGGTCTCCAGTGCAGCACATACCCACATCCTCCTGGAGGCACCAGCACGGATCCACCTGGGGCGACGGTGGCGTGCCCTAGTCTTCAGGAGGACTCGGGCGCGAGGACCCAGGACTTTGTGCGGGCCAGAGTTACACGAGGGTGCACGGGTCCTTCGGGGGCTAGGGACGGAGAGGGTCGGAGTGAATTAGCAGCTGCCACCGGCAGCACCAGGGATGTGCCTTTACAATGGACGGAAGATGAGCAGTGGGGTCCTGCCAAAAGGGTAGGGTGCCTGTGGTGATGGCTCCCCTGGGGGAGACACGTGCACTCTGGGGAGGCGGAGCTGGGCCGGGAGCCTGGCTGGCAGCCCAGGCTCAGGGGCTGCCTCCCGCGCGCTGCGGGGGAACCTCCACGCTGGGCATGCTGCGGGCCAAACTCCAGAGATGCTGGGGCGCCGGGGGGGGGGGGGGTTAGGGTGGGGGGCTGTACCCCCCGGGGTGGTGCGGGGCGCAGCCAGCGCGCACGTGGGACCCCGCGCAGGGCCCAGAGGGAAGCACCGGCTGCCACCGGGCGGGTGCTCAGGCCGCCCCGCCGGGCCCCTCCCGCCCCCGCCCCCCTCCCCCTCCGGACTTCTGGTCCCCACCACGTACCTGCCGGGGCCCCGCGACGTCCAGCCTCGGTCTTAGGGCCTGTAGAATGGTCTCACGGCGGCCCTGACCTCGCGGTCAGCCGCGCTGCAGGACGCGGCTCCCGCGTCCCCTGCGCACCCCAGGCAGGGGGGCGGCGGCGGCCGGGAAAGGCGGACCCCGGGCGGCTCCCGCTCCGGGCCGCTGGGCCCTCCCGGCCGCCCAGGCCGGCGCCCCGCCGGGCCTCCTACCTCGCGGTGCTGGCGGCGCGGCCGGCAGGGGGAGCGAGGCGGAAGGGAGCGGCAGCCGGCCAGGTGAGGGGAAGGCCTCCCGCGGCCGGGCGCGCTCCCTCGGGGGCCGCGGGGTGCGGGGCGCCGGCGGGGGGCGGGCGGCGCGCTCCTTCGGGCTGCGGGCGGGGCGCAGGGCGCGGAGTGGGGCGCGGGGCGCGGGGCGCGGAGGGCTGAGCGCGCCCCTGGAGGGACCGAGGCTGCTTCCAGGGGGCGCGGCCCGGGGGGCGGTGGAGGCAGAGGCTCTGCGGGGCTGGAGGCTTGGGCGGCCTCGCGCTTCGAGCGCCTCGGGCCCCTCCGACCGCGGGTCCCGGGCACAGAGCAGGGGTCGCGGGTTCTGCAGGCGCGAGGGTGAGGAGCCGCCGCGGGTGGAAAGGGATGGACCCCGCGATGGCGGAGCGCCCGGGTGAGGCCCCCCCACACTTCTCCCCAGTGCACTTTTTCTCCACCAGGGTTTTTGCCCACCCCACAGGGTCCTCTGCTCCCTCCCAGCCCCGCCCAGCAGGTCCCAGTTCGGGCAGGAAGGGGTTAACGGGGGCTGGGAGGATCCTGCGCTCTCCTCCACCACCTCAGACTCCGAGGGCCCAGGGCCTCGGGACTGTGCCCCAGAGACCCATCCAGGAAGCCCCAGGGCTTTTCACTTTCACTTCTCCCTTCTCAATACTGGTGTGACCCTCCGTCTCCACATCTGGCCACTGCCCTCAGGTGTGTGCCCAGATACACGCGGAAGGCTCAGCATGTACACAGCATGGACACAGCCTCCAGCATCCCCCCGCCCCCGGGGCAGCATGCATCCCAGATAAGGCACAACCACACGCGGGAGCCCCTCCCAGAGCCCCCACATCGGCCCCCCACAGTCTTCAGGGCCCAGGACCTCTCTGGGCACGGAATGCCAGCAGGAGATACCCCGGATGACACTGCCCTGCACGCCTTTCTGGGTGTGGACCGCCAGCAGTGGGCACGCCTCCTGCAACACTGCTGTGACCTGGCCCCACCAATGTCCCCTCCCAGCTGGGTTCTCCCCTCCATCAGAAGCAGCTCTTCCTGAAGTCCTGGAGGCAGTGGGCTGCCCTGCTCCGGGAGGGGAAAGAGGGCCCTTAAGCCCAGCTGGTTCCACATCTCACTCGTCCCTGGACCTGTCCATAGGTCCCACAGGTCAGTGTCATTGTCACAGCCCCAAATGGCCACTGAGGGCTGGGGGCAGGCTCTGGTGACAGCTTCCCTCTCCCTCCACTCTCCACAACTATAGCCACAGCCAGGGGGGCAGGTAGGGGGGGGCTCCCTGTCCAGGAAGTCACATACACCACGCCCCAGCCACATGCCCACACGCTGCCCTGCTGCACTCACCGCCTCATGCTCTTTCCTAGACCTCAGGCCCAGGAGCCAGTCCCTTCCCACTGGAGCTTACTCCCCAGTCCTCAGTTCCAGAGCCTTGCCCACTTCCTAGCCAGCACCCTCTCCAGCCTGGGGTCTGAGGCTCCGGGGATTGTAGAAGCTCTGGGAGAGGCCGCCTGCCTCCCACCCTCATCCCAGGCAAGCGCAGGCGAAGGCCTACAACATGGTTGCGGGCAGAGAAGCCTTGGAAACAGAGGCTCTGACTGCGAGAGCCTCAGTGAAGGGCCAGAGAGGCTCCTGGGAGGCTGGGAGACTTGGTGCTCTGCTGGGGAGACTGGGCAGCAAAGCCACGGACGCCCTGAACGGGTCAGAGAAGACCCCAGTGGCAGTAGGTGGGGGAAAGCACAGGCCAAGTTAGGCCTCAGTGTGGCGGATGCCTGGGCCTAGAGGCCTTGAGGCCTCAGGGTGGGCCTCGCCTCCCGGTGCTGGGCCTGGCCGGGCACCAAGGCAGCATGGCCTTCCCAGGTGGGCAGCCTGGATGTAAGGTGGGTGGCAGGGGGCCGCGTACAATCCGACCCGGCGGGCTGAACTCCTCCGACGTGTCCTCGGCTCCCTGGGCCAGTGCAGGCCCCGCCCCCGGCCCTCCCTGCGCCGGCCGGTGCGCGGGGAGGTCGGAGCAGCGGGCACTGCCCACCCTCCGGATGTATAAGCGTCCTGGCCAGAGGCGGGTGGTGCGCGCGGGTGCGCGTGACACTCGGGCTCCCGGGCTGCGCGGCCTGGGCGGCGTCCCTCTGCTCGGGGTCCCCAGCCACGACAGCGGGCCGGCCGAAGGGGGCTGGGGGGCGTTTGCCCGCTGGGTCCTGTTCCGCCGCGCTGAGGACCGGACGACGCCACCGCTGGGGGTTGCCCGCCTGTGGCCGGTGCCGAGCCCGAACTGCCCTCTCCTCACCCAGGTGCAGGGGCAGCCAGGGAGGAGGCGGCGGGAGGGGCCGAGGGCAGGGGCACGGCTGAGCCCAGGCGGCCCCACAGCGATCCATCGGTGCCTCACTGACACGGGCTGAGGCTGGGCGCTCCGGGTGTAGCTGCCTCCACTCGGGGGCTGTAGGACACAACGGTGGCTTCGCCGGACAGAGGGAACCCCGGCCTCGGTGGGAACGGCGGGATGTTCGAAGGGCGCTGGTCACGGAGGTCCCAGGGAGCAGAGGCCGGGGCAGGGAGCTTGAAAAGCAGAAGGGCCTGCACACCCCCCTAGGGCGCTCCACCCATCTGGGCCCCTTGGCGGCCACCAGCCCAGAGTGGGGGGCCGTGACGCTATAATCCCCCGGGCCCGGGGCTGGAGGCTGTGAGTGGCACCGCAGGCCCCCGCCCCCGGGTCCCGTGGGCTGGGCCGGCCTTGGTGCGGCTGGGTGCACGCAGTCGGAGGCGGCGCCGGCCAGGCCGCCGGGGCGCCTATGGACGCGCGGAGCCCGCTGTCTCCCCGGGCCAGCGCGTTCAGCATCGCCTCTCTGGTTGCAGCAGAGGCCGCAGAGCGCAGCGCTCGCCTGGGCCCCCGGTCCTCTGACCCGGCGAAGCTCCGCCGGCTGCTGGGATCCCCGGCCGGGATGCACTTCAGCACCGTCACCAGGGACATGGAAGGTGAGCCGCCCCGCTGTGTCTACGCCCCGCTGTGTCTACGGGGACCGCCCGCCAGACCCCCTGCCACTTCTGCCGTGGGGCCCAGAGTGGGTGGAGGGAGCTCTGGCCGGGTGGGCTCCAGGCTTCCAGGAGCAGGGAAGACGGGCAGGCATCCTGCCCAAAGCCTGTGCACCCTCCAGCCTGGGGACCCAGCTGCAGAGACCTGCAAGCGGCTAGACTCAGGCCCAGAACGGGACTGGTGGAAGCCAGGCAGGACAGGAGGGGAGGACCAGAGGCAGATGGCAGAGGTGGCCGCAAGCTGAGAGAGGTGGAGAGAAGGTGGCAGGAAAGGAGGGTGTCATAGAGTCTGGGAACCCTGGAAAACTGAGAGAGAGAAAGTGGTGAGGGCAGCAGGAGGAAAAGAAATTGAGAAGAGAGAAAACACAAAAATCTCAAAAGGGAGGTAGGAAAAAAGAGAGAGATGATAAAGAAATAAAGAGAGCGAGAACGAAAAAGAAGGAAGTGAAGGGAAATGGAAGACAGAAAATAAAGTCATAAAAGAAAGCGAAAAGCTAGAGAAAATCTCCAGTTTTTATTTTGTTAAAAAAAAAAGGAAAAATCCCCGAATAACAGGAAAAGACCTACAGAAATAAGAGGCAAAAGGCAGACTGGAAAAGAAAGACGAAGTGATGAAAAACGAAGTGGAAAGAAAGGAGAGGAACAGAACTGGGGAAAGGAGGAGGCAAAAAATAAAACAGGAATAAAGAGAAACGAAAGAGATAGTGGAAGAAGGAAAGAGGATTAGGAGGGAAATTTTCATCGAGGAAGACAAAGGTAAAGAAATAACAAATTGGGAAAAGAGCCCGGAGAGAGAAAGGAGAAATGCAACGCGGGAGGGCGGCAGAGCGAGGGGCGGCGGGCGGCCCGGCGCTCTGGGGAGCCGGTCCGGGCGGTCGGGGGGCCCGGGCCGAGCGAGCCGCGGCGGGCGGGCTGGGGGCTGGGGAGGGGGGCAGGGCGGGGGAGGGGCGAGCGCGGGGGAGGGGAGCGAGCCCATTGTCTCGGCGCCGGGGGCGGGGGGGCGCGGGGCGGGGCGGGGCGGGGCGCCTCCTCGGGGCCGGCCCGCGGTGAGGGCGGCGCGGCCCGGGGCGCAGCGCACGCCCGCCACTCGGCCCGGGGCGCGGGGCAGCGCTCACCTCGGCGGGGCGGCGGCGGCGGCGGCGGCCCGCGGGTCATGATCTCCGCCGTGTCCAGCCCGTGGCTCACGCAGCTCTCGCACTTCTGCGACGTTGCAGCCTTCACGGCCAGCAGCCTGAGCAGCCTGGGGGCCGCGGGGGGCTTCCCGGGCGCCGCGTCGCCGGGCGCCGACCCCTACGGCCCGCGCGAGCCCCCGCCGCCGCGCTACGACCCGTGCGCCGCCGCCGCCCCCGGCGCCCCGGGCCCGCCGCCGCACGCCTACCCGTTCGTGCCGGCCGCCGGGGCCGCCAGCAGCGCCGCCGCCGAGCCCGAGGGCCCCGGGGCCAGCTGCGCGGCCGCCGCTAAGGCGCCGGTGAAGAAGAACGCCAAGGTGGCCAGCGTGAGCGTGCAGCTGGAGATGAAGGCGCTGTGGGACGAGTTCAATCAGCTGGGCACCGAGATGATCGTCACCAAGGCCGGCAGGTCAGGGTGCCCCCTCGCCGCCCGACCCTCCCCGCGCGTGGGCCCCGCCGGCGGGTGGGGGCGCGCCCGCCACCTGCGGCCCCTGCAGGCGCGAGCTGGCTCTGGTTCTCCGCGGTCCCGGCTCCGGCGACGAGGGCGCGGGCAGCCACGGAAGGCGGGTGGGTGGAACAGCGCGGCGGCCGGCTCGCCCCTCCCGCAGCCCCGAGGCGCCCGCCGCCGCCGCCGGAAGCCCAGGCCGGACCGGAGCTCACGGGGCTACCGGCGCGCGCGGCCTCGCCGACCCGGCTCCCAGTGGCTCCCACCTCAAAGGAAAGTCACGTCTTTAGTTCCCCAATTCAGTGGACACGGGTTAGCTGGAGAGGGGCAGCAGGGGCAGCTGGGCAGTTGTCTGCAACACGGCAGCAGAGAGCGGAGACCCTTAAAAAACAGTATCCCCCCTTTGCTGGAGGTTGCGACCCACCTTCCTCGGGCCTAAATTCCGCGTGACTGTGGGGCCTGGCTCTGGGGCCGGGGCTGCAGCCTTCCAATTGGCCTGTGTTTGTTTTAAGGGCCCAGAGAGAAGGGGAACAAGTTTTGCGATGCAACTGATTTGACCAGCAGACAAAGGCGGGTGCCGGGCTGTGTCTAATGTACACACGGAGACACCAGCTCTGCGTCCACACAGCCAAGGGGAGCTCAGGGCCTGTTTGCAGAGCCTTCTCGCGGTTTCTGTTTCGCTGCCGCGGCTGTCCTCCCTGGGGATCCTGGGGCCTACGCTCAGCTTCAGCTCTGCGGGTCTTCTCCGGGCTCTCCTTACTGTCCCCTGAGGACGGCGCCCCAGCCTCTGGCCCGGTCCAGCCCAGCAAGGGCCTTGGTTGTGGCCAGGCTTTACCCCGAAAGCCACCGTTCTGTAGCACCCACCGGCCTGCAGAGGCGGCGGTGGCAGGTCTGACCCGGAGGGCTGGCTCCATGGCATCTTTCTGCCCACCGCCTGCAGGGAGTTGCCTATGAGGGGAAGCCGTAGGAAGGGCAGGTGGGAGCCAAGCCTCACGCAGCCCTCCTGGGCCGGGTGGCTGGCACTGCTGTGCTGTCAGGGACAGGGCCAGCGCACGGTCGGCGGCCCATCCGGGAGCCACAGAATGTCCTTTCAAGAGCCTGGATGGGTCATAGAGTCAGAGTCCAGGGGAGGGGAGAGTTAGGTGACCATGAGAGCACGAGCCAGGTTCTCCCGGAGGAGCTGAGTCCGGGGGGGGGGGGGGTTACTGTGGCTGGTGGGAACTTTTGTGTGTCCTGTCCGAGGAAGGTGGGGAGACTCCTCCATTGGGCCTAAGAGTTGAGCCTATGGGCTCGGAGCCCTCAGCCTCGTTGGAGGGATTGGGGAGCAGCCGCAGACCCAGCCGAAAGGGCAACCGGGACTCCGGGGAGCCACACAGAGTGCCCTGGTTTCACTTTGTTCGAGCCGGGAGTTTACATCCGTCTCTTAGATGGAGCTGGGGAGGCTCTGGAGGGCCGAGGATCTCTGGGACCGCGTCTTGGGAGTCTGCTGATAGGGTGCTGCTGGCTGAGGCTGGCTCTGGGCCGGACAGCCGAGAATCGGCAAATGCTAGGCCGGCTCTGTGCACGCAAATGTGGCAGAAGAAGCCACAGATGACGTTGGGGTGGGGAGGCTCCGCTCCAGGGCTTAGGGAGCCGTTCTGGGGTTTCAAAAAAGGGGGCAGGGGGCTGCCCTGACACTCCATTTACACTTGGCTGGGCCAGGGCCTGGTTGGGTTAGAGTAGCTGAGGCAGAGGAGAGGGGATGGAGGGGCCCGGCGCTGAACCATCCTGGGGTGGTCAAGGTGGGGCAGCCCTGCCTTCCCCCACCCGAGGTGACCGGAGGCCTCGCCGCCCCCAGGCGCATGTTCCCCACATTTCAAGTGAAGCTCTTCGGCATGGACCCCATGGCCGACTACATGCTCCTCATGGACTTCGTTCCCGTGGACGACAAGCGCTACCGGTGAGCGCCCAGCGGGACCAGGGAGGGTGCCCTGGGGAGCGGGCCGGTCCCGCCTGGTGACGCCTCTGAGGGCAGCCCACGAGGACATTAGTGACCAGGAGTCCCAGCACCTGCCCTGGCTGCCCCACGGGCCCCGTGACCTCCTCCCTCCCCAGCCCTGTCAGACCCCACACCCACACACCCCACCCCCAGCAGTTCTTGGGAACTCCCCTCAGGAGGTCACACAGGCTGGGCCCCTCCACCGGCGTAGGCCTGAGGCAGCTCCCACGCCCCTGGGCCAGCTTGGCCTGAGGCCCCTCGCACACAGCCCCTGCCTTTCTTCGCGTCTCCTTCTCCCACGAGGTGAGCGTGGGCACCTTGTCCCCTGCCCCCACTCCCGGGGAATGCTGGGCCCTGGAGCCGAGCAGGAAAGGTGGGGTGGCCGGGAGAGATTATGCAGGGCGGGTCTCAGCCGCCCGGACAATTAACAGCAATTAATAAGGAGACCGTGGTCCGCCCTGCGCCCGAGGCCGCCGCCGGCGCTGCCAAATCCGACTCGAGCCGGTGGTGGGGAGGCCTGAGCCGCAGACCCGCGTGCGGCGAAATGTGGCGTCTGGCCTCCTCCCCCGGTGCCCGGCTTCCCGTCGTCTCGTCTCGTGTGTTGGGACGGGAGGGAGTTTTCTGTTTTCTTCCCGGTGCCCCTCGGAAGCGCTCCCAGTCTGTGTGGCAGCCGAAGGCTCCATTTCACCCGTGATGGGGAAATCATCAGAGGCACTTCTGCGGTGCACTCCGCAAGGCCCTCTCGGTTCACCCCGCATGGCATGACCCCCTGTTCCCGTGCTGCCCCAGGTACGCCTTCCACAGCTCCTCCTGGCTGGTGGCCGGGAAGGCGGACCCCGCCACGCCAGGCCGTGTACACTACCACCCTGACTCGCCTGCCAAGGGTGCACAGTGGATGAAGCAAATCGTGTCCTTTGACAAGCTCAAGCTGACCAACAACCTGCTGGATGACAACGGCCATGTGAGCCACCCCCGCACCTCCCCAGGCGACCTCGCTGTTGCTGTCCCCGGTGTGGGCCCTCCAGAGTTCCTGTTGACCAGAACCAGATGCAGAGCTTGGGCAGCTCGGGGTGTGAATGAGGGACAGGCTGAGCAGAGTGGGCCCAGTGGCCCTTGGGCCTGGAGAGGGTGTCACTGTGCTCCCCATACCCCATTCCTGATCTTTTGCTGGAGACTTTTTAACTAGAAAGGATGGGACGGTTTGTGTGCGTGTGGTGATAGTGTGTGTGTGTGGGGGGTTGGCTGCAGGAGGCTTTGCACAATCCAGGCGGGTGATGCCGCTTTCCTGCCAGGCTGAGCTCTGGCCTCCAGCCACCTCCCACCCACCCACTGGGGGCCTCAAGTAGTTCTCAAGGACCTATGGAGAGGATCCTAACCCTGATCTTTTGCCATTTAGAGACTTTCCTCATGGTCCCCAGTTGATTGCAGTCTCCACTTGAGCCCCATAACCGGACCTCATTTCGAGAGTTCAGGCTTTTGTCCAAGTTCTCTGGGAAGTTCACTGCCTATCTAGACCTTTGCCCATTTCCTAGTTCCAAACTTGCCACCTTGTCTTCCAGATTATTCTCAACTCCATGCACAGATACCAGCCCCGCTTCCATGTTGTCTATGTGGACCCACGCAAAGATAGTGAGAAATATGCTGAGGAAAACTTTAAAACCTTCGTATTTGAGGAGACGCGCTTCACCGCGGTCACTGCCTACCAGAACCACCGGGTGAGGCCCTGGGATGGGCAAATTCAATACTACTGGGTTGCAATTTCCCAGTGCTGCTTGGGGACAAAGGTTTGTAACCAAAGCTTTCGGTTCTGGTGGGATCCAACACGGTGGGGTCGCCCCCCCCAAGGGACTCAAGCAGCCTCCTCCCCTCTGCTGCAGGCTGGCCCAGCCTCCTATCAGGTTGACCTCTCCAGCAGCAACTGTCAGTGCGGCCTGAAAGTTTGTTTTCAAACCATTCCGGAAACTCCCCATCAGGGGCCTGATCCACGGCTTACCCAAATTCCTAGGGAATCCCCCCCCCAACACACACACACTGTGGGTCGGTGGTGGAGGGGACCACATTCCCATCCCAGCCAGGGACACGGGGTCTCCATCCTAGTCACTTGGGACCACAGAGGGGTTCTTTAGCGAGAAATGAGCTTCCCCGTTTGGCAGGAGAGAGTTAACTGGGGAGGTTTGTGTCCTTGTCCCCGAGGAGTAAAAGGGCCCCTACCTGGGGAGCTCCTGCAAACACTACCCGACTGGAGCTCGCGCCCCCAGCGCAGGGGCCCTACCCACTTGCTCAATGCCTGCTTCGCCCCCCACCCCACCCGCAGATCACGCAGCTCAAGATCGCCAGCAACCCCTTCGCCAAAGGCTTCCGAGACTGCGACCCGGAGGACTGGTGAGTGTCCTCCGGGGAGACGGCGACTGCGCTGCTCGGAGCCTGGCGGGGGCGCCCCCTGACCCGCCGCCCTCCTCCCTCCCGCAGGCCCCGGAACCACCGGCCCGGCGCGCTGCCGCTTATGAGCGCCTTCGCGCGCTCGCGGAACCCCGTGGCCTCCCCCACGCAGCCCAACGGCGCCGAGAAAGGTAGGGCCGGGGGTCGTGGGATCCGGGCCGCGGCCCCGAGCGCGCTCCGCCCCAGGCCGGCGGCCGAGCCGGGCCGAGCCGGGCCGAGCCGGGCCGAGCCGGGCCTCGCCCGCGCCCCAGGGGCGCTCGCGGCCTTCGCGCCGGTTGCACAACGGTCGAGGCGGCGGGCAAGCGCGCACTCGCCCGCCCGGCCCGACGGCTGCGCCGCGCCCGCCCCGCCCGCCGCCCGCCGCTCGCGGAGGGGCGCGGGCCCCTGGGAGGGCCCCGGGGAGGGCCCCCGGGGAGGGCGCGGGTCCCCCAGGCTCCCGCCCCGGCGCGCTCACCCCCGGCCCTCCCCGCAGACGCGGCCGAGGCTCGGCGCGAATTCGAGCGCGACGCGGGCGGACCGGCCGTGCTCGGGGACCCGGCGCACCCGCCGCAGCTGCTGGCTCGGGTGCTGAGCCCCGCGCTGCCCGGGGCCGGCGGCGCCGGCGGCCTCGTCCCGCTGCCCGGTGCGCCCGGGGGCCGGCCCAGCCCCCCGCACCCCGAGCTGCGCCTGGAGGCGCCCGGCGCGTCGGAGCCGCTGCACCACCACCCCTACAAGTACCCGGCCGCCGCCTACGACCACTACCTCGGGGCCAAGAGCCGGCCGGCGCCCTACCCGCTGCCCGGCCTGCGCGGCCACGGCTACCACCCGCACCCGCACCCGCACCCGCACGCGCACGCGCACCACCACCCCGCCGTGAGCCCCGCCGCCGCCGCCGCAGCCGCCGCCGCCGCCGCCGCCGCCGCCGCCAACATGTACTCGTCGGCCGGGGCCGCGCCGCCCGGCTCCTACGACTACTGCCCCAGATAATGCGGCCGCCGCCGCCCCGAGCAGCCCCGAGGGCCGTCGGGGTGCCCGCCCGCGCAGCCCCAAGGGCCCCCGAGGACGCGCTCCTGCCGCCCCGGGGCCAGCCGCGAAGCCGTCGGCCCCCTCGCCGGTTCCCCCGCCCGGAGCCGCCGCGGGGCCGGTCCGCGCCGCCAGTGCCAAAGCGCCCGGTCGGCGGCGGAAGGAAGTGATATTTATTGTTCTCCGCGAGACCGCGTCGCCCCCCGCCCCCACCCCGGCCCGGCCGGCAGTTGCAGTGTAGACGACCCGGGAGCCCGTCTGCAGGCGGTGTAGATACGTGTAGATATTTGTAGATACTGTAGATACCGCGCCGGCGCCGACTTGATAAAGGTTTCGCCTCTTTTGGAAGCTGCCTACGTGTCCATTTATTCGCGTCCGCGAGAGCGCACGGGGGACGCCGGGGCTCGGGTGTCCGGTGGGGTGTCCGGTGGGGTGTCCGGTGGGCTCGGGCCTCGGGGCCTCCCGCGCCGTCGCCGAGCGGTGCCCGCAGTGCGCCCGCCGAGCGCCTCCTCCGCCCCGCCCCGCCCCGTCCTCTCCCCGCCCCCGGCCTCGGCCCGGCCGTCAGGGTGCGCGCCCTGGTCTACCCCGGCTCCCCGGCCGCCCGCCCCCGCCTCCACCGGGTGGCTTCATCCCGTCCTCCCCCAGGCCGAAGCGACCGGGGCTCCGCCCCAGACCAGGTGTGCACGGGCCTTCCCGCAGTTGCCCCTCTTCCCCGGAAGGGCCCCCGGGCCTGTGTTCAGGACCAGTGCCATCCTGGGTGCTTTTCCACGGAAGCTGGAAACAACCGTCACGACAGGACACACTGTCAGCTGGGGGCGGGGAGGGGGAGAAGCTCTGACTGATCCGCAGAAAGACAAAAACAGGCAGTTCTGCTGTTCTAGCATTTCCCCTCGCTGGCCCTAGCCCAGGCCTGCGTTTTCCCCTGTTTATTGACTTTGTTCCCTGTGAATGTCCCCATGGAGTGACCTGGGCAGGGGGCACAATGACAGTGGTCATGAGTCATCTTGAAACCTGTCTCTGAAGCATTTTTCCCAGGCCAGGTGGTGAGGGACCTCTCCCCATTAACTCAACACCAGGGATGGGGCCAGAGGAACCCTTTGATCCCTCCCTTCCTGAGTCCAGGCAGGAAAAGCTGACAACCGGTCAACGTCAAGGCTGCTGACTTGGACACAAGATGGACGGGAAATGCTGAGGGGCTGAGCTTCTATCCCCCTCTGTGTCTGTCCCAGTACGTTTGTGGCTATCGCTGCCACATGGCGGTGGCCACCTGGTGCCACCTCTCCCCAGTGCAGCCAGCCGTTTTCCAATGACTGTCCCAGACTGGATGCTTTCTTCCTGGATGTGCTCACCCTGGTGGTGTGAGGTGACTGGAGGCTTAGCGGTTGGACGGCAAGCAGGGTTTCCATGAGGCAGGTCTACAAAGGGAGGGGGCGACCAGGCTGCTGGGGAGTGAGCTCTGAGCCAAGGTCTGACAAAGCTTCAAAGTTCATCTGATGCCAGGGCGTGAAGACTTGCAGCACCTGCTTGAGCGGCCAGCGTGCTCTGTGGGCGCAGCTTCAGGGCAACTCTGGACACCCACCCCTGAGGGACGTCCTACCACCCGCCCTGCAGATTCCCCTCTAGGTGAGCGGCATGCACCATTGGGATCCCCATTCACGTGGCCTGTTTCACGTTTGCACCACGAATGCACCCTGCATCCCGCCCTGGGAGGCCTAGGGGAATGATGGGCTGTGGCCTGCAGAGCTGGTCTCTCCTGCAAGTGCTGGGCCCCCCTCTGGGACCCACTGTGACTCTGAGGCCACCCTCTTCTCTGCACACTTTACACTCAGGCTGTGGTGACAGTCAGGGGTTGAGAACCACAGTCGGAGAGATGTCTGTTTGGGTTTTGTTTAAAGCTGAAGTAAGAAGAAGCTCCCCTCTGAACTGGCCATGGTGCCAGGTATTTGCAGAAGGGAGGAGGCAGCCGAGCACGCAGCCCTTCAGTGTGCAGCCTGCCACCTCCTGCATGTGTCCATCCCGTACGCATGCTCCCGTAATCATCACCCACTCAAGATGGAAAGCTGTGCTGCTGTCCAGCACGGTGGCTGCTGGCCATAGCGGGCCACTTGCATGTTAATGAGCAAAAATAGAATAAAATTAAACCTTCGGTTCCTCACTGGCTGCATTCTGAGTGCTGGACGACACATGGGCGGCAGGTCAGCTCGCTGGATGCTGCAGATGATGGCCGCCCTGCCCTGGGGAGCAGCCCCCCAAAGGCATAGTTTTCTACCCTCTGCCCCCCTGTAGATGAGTTTGCCCGGCTTAAGAACTTCTCATAAATGGGATCGTACAGCAGGGCGCCTGGGCTGGCCACACTGCCACCCGCCCGTCAGTTCTGGTTGCTGACTGGTGTCCAGCCTCCTGTGAAAGGCACTCAGTTGTTTTACGATGGGCGCTGCAGGTGGGACTAGTTACTCCGGGCGGCCGTGCAACACGTCAGTAGGCTCTGTCACCTACCTCCCATCCTGGGGAGGTGACAAAGTCAGCCGGCTTCTGCTGGGAGCTCCTCGTTTCAGAAAGGCACCAGGGACACTCTTAGCCACTTACCCCTGCAATCAGTGCCTGGTGAGCTCCACCAGCAATGTTGCCACTGCCTTCTGGGTGGGGCTGCCGTTCCCGTGGGCAGCTACCCCAGACAGTCCCCAGCTTCCCCGTGAAGCCACTGTCCTGGCAGCTTCCCTGTCCCTCACTTTGGGCTGCTTTGCGACCACACCTGGCCTGCCCCTTCCACCAGCCGCCGTGCTGCACTGTGTGGGGGCTTGGGTCCTATCTGACCCACTTCCTCATGGGCTCACTCCTCAATGCCTTTTTCTGGGTTCCTCAGTGGGCCCAGAGGCCCCATTCTGTCCCCTTCACCTGTCTCCAGGTGTCCGGTTGCTAGAACTCAGGAGGGCAAGAGCTTGGATTAGAAGGGACCTCAGAGATCTGGGCTCCTCCCCAGACTCAACCCTCGGAGCCCTTCAAGAAACAGTGGATGCCTCACAAATGAAATAGGTAAACTCTTGACTAAGCAGAGGAGGGGTAGGGCCTATCTACTCTCCTCTTTACCCCTTTGGGTCCCACATAAGGGGTCTAGGGAACCCAAGGACCCTGGGGCGTGGGGGCATGACCCCACCCCCACCCCAGAAGCCCAGCTGGCTGTTTTGAGAGGAGGAAGACCAGACCAGAGCCACAGGCAGGGCGTCCTGTGCGGCCTTCCTCGGCGCTGGAGCCTCTGCCTTTGACATAAACACTCCAGCTCCTAGGGAGCTTCGGAAATGCTGCCCCGTGTGCGGGATACTCCAGCACCAACAACTGGCATTTTTAGAGGACTTACGAGTGCCGGGCACCCCGGCGAGCCCTGTGATTGCTGACTCCTCTCATCGAGGTATTCCAAAAGCCCAGAACATCAGGATGCTAACAAACCCACAGCCCACGGGGTCTTGTCTGCAGGCTCGTGGCTGGTGCAGGGATGCTCTGGAATGGGACCCCCCGCCCACCCCTCCACTGTACTGCCACTAAGCTGGCAACACCAAGTGCCTTTATTTTATTTTAATTTTATTTATTTTTTAAAAGATTTTTATTTATTCATGATAGACACAGAGAGAGGGGCAGAGACACAGGCAGAGGCAGAAGCAGGCTCCACGCAGGAAGCCCGATGTGGGACTCGATCCCGGACCACCGGGATCATGATCTGAACCGAAGGCAGACGCTCAACTGCTGAACCACCCAGGTGCTCCAACCACATGCCTTTATTGAGCCAAAGAGAAAGTGCCCCAAACAGGCCTGTTGGGTGAGCTACAGGGCACAGGCAGCTCTGGGCACGTCTCTGACGACAACATGCTGGAGGGGCTGGTTACAAGTCTCCCCCTCAGGGAAGCATTTGGGGTGCAGAGGGCTGTTCACAGAGGTTCTGCTGTGGGATGAGGGGAGTCCGGTGGCACCTCGAGCCTGGAACTGCAGAGGAAGAGGAAGCCTGGTGGCTGTGTGGCTTCTGCCATCCCTTCCCTCTGGCTGGGGAAGTCCACAGAGTGTGTGGGACCCGCATGGCGGCGGGTGGGTGAAGGCGAGGGACTGAGCTCCAGGTGTGTTGCAGATCAAAGCGTCTGCGCACTGGAGAATTCCATAGGGCCACAGCTGCCGGGGGAGGGGGCAGAGGCACCCTGTGCAGGCAGCCGGTGGGAGTGGGGGGCCTGAGGAGCTGCTTCTGGGACAAAAGGAACGATTCCAGGGGCAGCAGGGGTATGGCCTCACCTGGAGCTGGGTGCGAAGGAGAGCATACCTCCCAGGTCCCACGGGCCCCATGGCTCAGTGGCTCAGTTTCCCCTTAGTGCTGGGTGCTGACCCCTGCCCCGTTGGAGCGGTGTGAGTCCCGGAGGCCTGTGTGAACAGCGGGGACCGTCCTCTCCTCCTCTGCGTGGGTTCCGACGAAGTTTCACAGGTGCCAGGGGGCAGGACCAGGCATCTGCACTGGGCATGTCTGACGCCTCCGCACAAACCTGATCCTCACATGCCCCCCTCACCCCGAGGCCACCTCTGTATTGTGACCTGGCCCCAGCCTGGGAGCAGTGAGGGGTGTGACAGGGCCCCACAGGCCAGCCGGCCCTGCGAGGGGAGGCTGGGGCTGCTTCCTGGTCTACCCCACATGCTTTCTGTATTTAAAAAAACACACAAATCTTGCCTTTGATTCGCTTCCCTTCCCTGCTTGTTGTACTACTTCAAACCAGATGAGTTCACAAGATGAGACTTTGGAGCCTCGGCGCCTCTACGTAAACCGCTGCCAGGTCTCTGTGGGGGAACAGCAAAACCAAAGGTGTTTTGTGAAAAGCAGCCCCCATGGGGGAGAAGCTTAGGTTTTAATAGCAGTAATTAAGTTATCTTCTTAATTATAAATAGGAATGGCATTGCCGACATCCTTTACCTATCAGCTCTTGGTTGCGTCAAGTTCGTGCTGAACCCTCTGCTTCCAGCAGGTGCCACCGTGCCTTCCACTGGGCTCACAGGGCAGCCCAGCCCTGCTCTGGTCGCGACCACCTGCCCTGGGAACACTCGGGCTTCCGGACACCCCACTCTTGCTTGCACCACCCGGGAAAAGGCCTTCCGATCAGATCGTGACCCCCTTCGATGGAAACACGTCCTGACCTCAGAGATGCTGGAAGAACTATTTGCCGAGAACAGGAGTGGGGGGGCCTTACCATTGCTGGGGCCCTGGACTCGAGGGACACTTTCCCAGCTACATGTCTCTGCCTTCTGGGGCCGGGGTCTGGAGCAGCACTCGGTGCTGCATCTCAGGTCCCTGGGAAGACAGCAGAGCCTCTGCCCTGGGAGACTGGGCTCCTGGGGCTCCAGTCCCCAAACCATCCCCATAGCGGCTCTGCCCTTCCAGGATGGATGCCCACCCCCCACCCCCGACTGGCACTCCTCGCCACAGGTACCTGTCTTCCCAGCCTTCCCCTCACTCCATGTGGCCATCTCTGAACCTACCCCTTCATCCCAGAACACGTTTCCTAGATTCTTCCCCAGGACGGCTTCTTCTGTGACCTCATTGCACAGTGAAGGTGGGAGCGGGGGCCAGGGCTGATGGAGGCCGGGTTAAGGAAGAGGCCGCAGCTCTCGGGCTCTCCGAGGCTGCCTGCTGCCCATGGCTTGCAGCTCGCATCTTTTCCCATCAGGTAGGACGTGCCCTGGAGGACAAGGCAGGCTCTTCATTGGAGGGCCACCCTCCCTGAGCCCTCCCCCGTGGTCACCAGCTGGGACAGAGGCCCCTCCCTGTGTCCTCGAAGGCCAGCTCCTGCCAGGTCTGTGGGTGGCAGGAAGCCCCCCCTGGAGTGTGTTCTCTGCCCTTAGTTCTTCTGCGGGTCCGGTTTTCCAACATCATCGTCGTGGTGGGAACAGGAGCCTGTGTGTGCGCTGACTGGCTGCAACAAAATCTGGAAGCAGCGACCGCCACGCCAAGGATCACGCTTCTGATAACAGTACGTAAAGTCTTAAAAAAGGACTAAGAAAAGCAAGCGGCTTCATTAAGATGCCACTGGCCAGCGTGAAAACGCCCCGGCTTGGCACTTCTCCTGGGAGTGCCCGCAGGCCGCAGAGCAGAGAGCAGGGGCTGCGGCCTCGGCCAAGTGGGGAGTGGGCGCAGGGGGGCTGCGAGCTGAGCCAGGAGCTGGGTGCTCACACCCACTTCCCGGGGCCGTGAGTAAGTAGGCACTCTGGGCGTTGGGGGCAAAGTCCCCTTCCCACAGGGGTGGCTGAAGAGAGGCCCCTGCCCCAAGTGTGCCTGCTGCCATCTCCACAGGCGGTGCTACTGGACAGTGAGGGGCAGCGGGCCTCATTTTCCCCAGTGCCCCACGGGGCCTTGTACAGTGGGCCCTTCTTGCAGGCCTGCGTGGTTCTGGACACGTCTCCCCTCCTCGGCTCTGATGATCAAGCCCTCTTTCCTTTTGGGTGGCCAGCCAGGATGGTCCATTTAGAGGAGGGGTCCAAGGCCACAACCTGGCACCCCTTCCGGAGACCTGCACTCCCAGAAGCCATTGCAGGGCTGTCCCAAGAGCTACAGCTGCCTCCAGCCTCTTCATATGCCACTGTCATTCCCCTGCCACCACCTGCTCTCCGGAGTCTGAGGACACGGGCACTAATCCTGCCCCTCTAACAGGTGGGGGCTGTGGGTGGGAGTGCCCAGTTTTCAGGCACCTTGATGTCACCACCAGGAAGAGTACTGGTCTCAGGTGGGCCGAGGGGCCTTCTGCGTGTTGGCCAGGCCGTTTAGCTCCTCAAAGCCTGCGCCCCTCAAAGCTCCTTAGAGCTGTGCACTGCTGCTCCCATTTCCAGCGATTTGCCATGCAGGCATCTGTCTCATCCCAGGGAGAATTGAAGCTTCCAGAAGACGGAGATCCTATCACACATTGACCTGAAAATAATTTATGATGAATGAAAAAGTTGGTTTAAACCACAATGAGAGACTTTGTAGCCATTAGGATGGCTGTTATGAACACACACACACACACACACAACACGTGGGTGAGGGTGTGGAGGAATTGGGACCCTCGTGCACTGCGGGTGGGGATGTAAAAGGGTGCAGCCATTGCAGAAAGCAGGATGGAGGTCCCTCAAAAGAGTAAACCTAGAACTACGTTGGACCCAGCAGTTCCTCTCTGGGGGTATGCCCCGGAGAAGTGAAAGCAGGGACTTACACAGATATTTGTACACCCATGTCCATAGCAGTGTCAGTCACAATAGCCAGGAGATGCAAGCGGACCAGGTGTCATCAATTAACCAATGGCTAAAAATAATTGACTGATAAATGGAGAAAAATGTTGGATGGCCATACAGTAGGACACTGTTGAGGCATAAAAAGGAAGGAAATTCTGACATGTGCTACGACAAGGGATGGGTCCTGAGGACTTTATGCTCAGCGAAACAAGCCAGACCACAAAAGGACAAATACTGTAGGATTCCCCGTATACGAGGTCCCAGAGGAGATACACACAGTATTGGAGGGGGTGCCAGGGGCCGGGGAGGGCAGATGGGGCATTAATGTTTAATGGGGACAGAGCTGCATTTTGGGCAGTTGACAAAGTTCTGGAGAGGGATGGTGGAGATGGTTGCTCAACACTGTGAATGTGCTTAATGCCGCTGAACTGGACGCTTGAAATGGTTAAAACGGCAAATTTCTATTTTTTTTATGTATACTTGCACGTATTTTACAATTAAAGAAACCCTGAATTATCCATCATCTACAAAGGCCACTATTAATTGTGGATTGACCAAGTCTCTAAACTGGTGGTTTTTAACACAGAAATCTCATCCTGCTGAGCCATTGGGCAATGTCTGGAGACACTTCTGACGGCCGCACCGGGTGGGTGGAGGCCAGACGCGTGATTCAGCACCCCCCAGTGCACACAGAATGGTTGGGCCAGATGTCACAGGGTCTGGACCAGCTGCCAGCCGCAGTCCCAAGTATTTTGAGACCCGTGTAGCAGCAGCCAGACAGGCAAGCATCCCTCCTGGTGGGAGCTGCTCTCTTGGCGCTACTTCCCCCAGGCTGAGTCCCCCCAGACTTTCTCCACAAGCCTCTCTGGTGTCCAGGGACCCAGACTCACCCACCAGGCAGGCAGTCAAGCCCCCAGCCTGAGTGGTAGGTCCTACACCCTGAGGGGGGTGGGTGGGGGGCCAGTGACAGCCCTGGGTGTGGTGCTTGAGACCCCTGGGAGATGTGTCTCCAAGTGCCTCTGCCCCGGCCAGTCCAGCTCAGCTAGCTCGTGTGTCCCTCTCACAGGGACAGTGTCCCTCTCCTTGTTCATGGGGCTCCATAACTTTAGTTAGGGACCCTGGCTCTTCAGGAGGGTCACTTAGCTCTGGGGGGGGGGGCGCCAACAGCCCTCTGTCTTTTAGAGCAGGCAAAGCTGCGGCAGGAGGTGGGGAGCACAGAGTGACACGTTCACACTTCCACAGGCCAAAGTGGCTGCCACACAGCGTGTGTTGAGATACAGCTTCTGCTGTAAAAGGATGCATGTTCCTGGAGACGACAGTGGTCACCAAGCTGGCCGGGGCCCCCGGGGGGATGGAGGTGGCCTGTAGGCTCTGTGGGGTGGCGCCCAGGGCTTGAGACCGGCCCCACGAAGGCAGATCAGCAGAGGGTCCAGCTGCCCACCCTGCTCAGGAGCCCTAGGGCCACTCGGGGAGAAAGGAGCTGCTTCTGGGTGGGGCAGCCGCTGGACCCCAGAGCAAAGGGGCAGGAGGGTGTTACTGGGGGTGGGACTTTTGTTGCTGTTCCCACAGCCATCTGGTAAGGAGGGTGAATGTCACTGAATGTAAGTTCTCCTACAACATATAACGAACCCACCAGCCCTTCCCTGCCCATCTCCTCTGTTCTGAGTGCACTCTGGTTTCTGTCCCCCCACCCCCCGGCTCCCCCCACTCCTCCCTCTTTGCTCCTGTAACTGAGCTGAGCGGTGTGCAGGCAATGGTTGTAGGATTGATTATTCCTGATTAGCAAACAGCACGTTCTCATTCTTTACGTCACCAACCAGGGAAGGGGGACGTCGGGTTTGTGGATTATGAATGGGAAAGGCATGTGCTCCTGTGGGCTTTGCCCCCGTGGCCGCGGACTTGAGCAGAGTCCAGTACCCCCCCGCCCCCGCCCCCGCCCCGGCCCACGTCCGACTGCACATCAGACACCTGACACCTGTCTCGTCTACAAGAAGGAGTTCCTCCATGAGGAACTTTGTTCACGCCCATCTGAAGGGGTGGTCCCCCCCACCGTTCGAGATGAGTAGTGACGAGCTCCAGATGTCCAGGGGCTCACCTCAGATCCTGGGAGCCCCCGCTTCTGAGAGGGAGGCGCCAAGTGCCCACCCTTCAGCACCACAGGCCCAGGGGCCACTGGCGACGCCTTGGTTTAATGTTGAAGCCGGGCTGTGCTTCCCTTCATTGTGGCCTCTGTTTGAAATTTTCAAAATAGAAAAAAAAATGCCAGTGGTTTGATAAATTCTTGGGATTTATAAATTGTATGTTGTGTAATAAAGAATTCTCACTATAGTCACCCCCTTACTTGGTGTATCAAAATGTATGGATTTAACAAAATTTCCCTGACATTTTTAAAAAAGATTTTATTTATTTGACAGAGAGAGAGAGAAAGAAAGAGAGAGAGAGAGAGAATAAGCAGGGGGAGCAACAGAGGGAGACGGAGAAGCAGGCTCCTCACTGAGCAGGGAGCCCGACATAGGGCTGGATCCCAAGACCCCAGCATCATGACCTGAGCTGAAGGCAGACATTTAAGTGCCTGAGCCACCTAAAATTTCCCTGACATTTAAACATTGGTTGCAAATGCGTTAAAAAAAAACACTTTTAAATACTTAACAAGGGCAGCCCCGGTGGCTCAGCGGTTTGGCGTGGCCTTCAGCCCAGGGCGTGATCCTGGAGACCCGGGATGGAGTCCCACGTCGGGCTCCCTGTGTGGACCCTGCTTCTCCCTCTGCCTCTCTCTCTCTGTGTCTCTAATAAATAAATAAAATCTTTTAAAAAAAATAAATAAATATTTAACGAAAATGGCAAGCCTAACATATAGATCTGAAAATATCTTAACATCTTCGGAAAGACACACGCGTACCCACACAGTACGAGATCCACCAGGGCGGGCACTGAAGGTGCTGAACTCTAGCTTCTCCTTGGGCTGCCGCTTCTTCCTTAGGCGTGTTCTCAGCATCCCGAGGGCTCGGACTACTGACGCGGGCAGCGGGCAGCTCGGCTCTGGGCTGGGCGCCACAGGGGGGCCCAGTGCCGCCCCGAGTGAGGCTGGCCCATCCTGGCCTGCTCCGGAACGAAACGTCTGCACAGGTTGAGGAAACTCTCGATGATGCCCCCTCTTTCATGTTCCCTGAGATGAGGGATTCTTTGGGTTTCACGTGCATGGAGGTCCGGGTCTCTGTCCATCCATTTGGAGATTTGGCCTGGGGTGTGGGGATGAGTAAGCTTCTTCACCAGCGTTTCGTTACACCCCGCAGGGTGGAGTGAGGGGTGCCCCGAGCACGGGGGGGAGGGAGCGCGTGGCTGGATGCTCGCACCTGGCCATGGCAGGAGGCTCAGGTCCTGCCCGGGCTCCTTCGCCCGAGGCCTGGGGGTTGGGGGGACTGTGCTCACTCTTTCTTGCTACACAAAGAGAAACAAGGAGAAACATCCTTTATTTTGTAAAGGATGAAAACATTTTGACTCTCCTCCCTCACAAGGCGGAGCCCGTGTCCCTTTGCTGATAGCAGGGCCGGGCAGAGAAGACTGCGGTGGGTTTGCTGGATGAGCCCCTGGAGGCCCCCTGTAAGAAGCCTGACTTCCCTGGGACCCCCATGCTGAGAGGCCACCCCGCAGAGGGGCTCACACCCACAGTGCCCGAATCCCATTCACCCCAGGACCCACGCACCTCCTGAAGGCCCCACCCACTACCACCACCTGGGGGGTTGGGTTTCACCCTGTGGATCCATGTGGGGACTCACACTCAGACCACAGCAATCTTGAGGCACACTTGGCCTGCTTATTCCCTGCAATACTTCGCTGGTCTACTTCATGTTAACTTTTCTTGTTTGAGTGTTAATGAGACTTCTTGCTGCCCGACACATCTTGGGCCCGTGTGGGAGGCCCGTTGGCCTTGGGTGCTGCTCTCGGCACCTCTGAGCACCTCCTGGCTTTGCGGCAGAAGCAAGATTCCCCGAGTCTGCCCCGTGCCACGGAGGCAGGGGCCCACACACGTGCATCCTTTCAGCTCCGTGGGCCCAAGGTCCCAGACGCTGTTGCCCAAGGGTGCCTGTCAGTGACACACAAGATGTATTTTCCTGACCCTGAGATCAGAGAGCCCATGTCGGGTGCTGATGTACAGGTGGGGCAGCTCCAGGGCCCCTCCTGGGACGGATGGGGGCAAAAGCATTTAAAGGCCATGAGCACCTTTTTTCCAGGGTGGCACACTGTACAGGCATGTCTTACTTCCGCTGGGCTGTGACTCTACCTCTGGCTCCGATGTTTTCCCGCAGGGACCCCCTAAGCCTGGTCTTAGAGCTCCATTCGTGGACCTGACAGTCCTACACCTGTGGGGTGGTGTATGTGTGCCCCACTCGCCAGCCGCTGCTGGCTCTCGGCATCTGGCTCCGCTCTGTCGGGCCCAGGTGCTTCCTTCTCGCCCAGCTCCCAAGGGAGCTCCCAGACGTGGGGAGAGCCTGGCCAGGGAAGCTGAGTCCAGGTAGGATGCAGGTGGAAACCGGAGCAGCCCTGCAGGAGCAGCAGAGTGGGCTGGCCGGGCGGCTGTGCAGAAGTGGGGGGGGGCCTGCCGACTGGTGGGGGGCTGGGGGCTGGGGGGCTGTGGGCTGCAGACTGGCAGGGGGCTGGGGGTTAGGGGGGCTGCCTGCACCCGAGCACAGGTGCACAGGCAAGCTCGGCTTGAAGGTTCCCGTCTGTGCCAGCCCGTCTTTGACACCAGGCCTGCCCATGAAGTTCTAGCTAGTTGAGTATCAAGCCTTTCTAAAGAACCCCCTGAAGGAATGTTTTTTCTTTGTGCAAACAGTCCTTTTGTGCAAAGGGTGTTCTGTGGCTTCTTGGCACAGGCGCAGGTGGGTAACACCTGATTGAACATCACTCACTCAAGAGCGTCAAGACATGCACGGCACGTCAGCACAAAGCCAGCCTGCCGAGCGGGCACAGCGAGGTGTCCCTGAACGCGGCGCCACAGCAGCCCTCCCCCCACCAGTCCCCAGCGTCTGAGTGCCCGTCCAGCTCCCGGGGCCCCCCGCCGCCCCCCGCCCCGGCCCTCTGCGTATTTCCCAAGAGCACGTGACTGTTGGACCTTAGTCGTTACCCCAGCTCCGAAGCGGGGTGCGCAGGGAAAGACGGTGGATTCCCAACCCGGGGGGCCACGCCGCTGGCCACCGCCTGGTCCGCAGTGGATGCTGGGGAAGTGCTGTCCACCTGCCCACCTGCCCAGGGGGAACAACCGGGGGCCCCCTTGCAGGGTTACCATGGGTCTGGAAGAGGGTCAGCAGAAGGTTCCTCTCGCCAGATGCACACGCTGGGCCACTCGCTCGCCTGGGCAGGCTGCTCAGGATGGCACAGCTGCTTGCCCTTCAGGGGAGGTGGCCTGGAGGTGGGGCACGCTGCAGCCCTGGTTGTCCTGCTGATGAGAGGCACCCTTCACCCTGGAGGTGGTGACATCCAGGTCCCAAAAGTCACCGCAAAGAATGCCCCAGGGTCACTCCCACTGGCCGCGAAGAGGCTGGGCAGCTCCAGGGCCGGAGGGCCTCAGTCCTACAGCACGAGGCTCGGGGTCCTGCTAGTAACCAGCAGGGCTGGGAGAGGCGCCCGCCCCACTGACACCTCGTGCAGCCTGCGAGGCTCCAGCCAGAGGCCCCGGCTGCACCGCACCCATGCTCCTGACCAGTAGGGATGGGACAGCAGAACACACCGACCAGCCGGATCTGCACGCAGGAACGTCCATCGTGGGGCGCCGGGGTGGCTCAGTCAGATAAGTGTCCACCTTCTGCACAGGTCGTGACCCGGGGTCCTGGGATCGAGCCCTGCATCGGGCTCCCTGCTCAGCGGAGAGCCTGCTTCTCCCTCTCCCTCTGCCTGCTGCTCCCCCTGCTTATGCTCTCTGTCAAACAAATAAATAAAATCTTAAAAAAAAAGAGAGAGAAATGTCCATCGCTCCTCCTGAATGAGATTTCTTTGGGGTGAACAGCCTGTCCACTAAGAGAGTCTGAGTGAAGAATTCCTTGAGAGCCTGGTGAGTCTCCCTCTGGGGAAGGGTTGGACTGCAAAGCGCCTTGCTGAGGGTGAGGGGGCCTGAGGACACCTGCCGAGGAATGCTTGGCCAGCGGGTCCCCCCTCACTCGCCTGGGGACCCTCGGTCCCTGCCTGGCTGTGCCTCCTGCTCCCTGGCCCCTGGGCCCCAGGCTTCCTTGTCATCTTGGACGATAATGGCCATGTCAGTGGCACAGACTCGCCACTGTCTGGCCACTGTGGACTGTGCTAAATTAAAGTGGCTCCTGAATGAAACGACGCTTATGTCCTGAAAAAGGTTGCTCAGTGAACACGAAAGTAGAAGGCAAAGCACTTAGGAACCAGGCGGGGAACTCGCAGGGCTGGTGTCCTAACCCCCCGGACAGACGTGGTGAGGGTGCAGTGGAGCTGCTGGGTCCGGGGGGTGGCCTTGCTGAAGGCCTCTGATACGAAGGCATAGGGACATGCGGCCCCAGGTGGCTGGACGCCACCGCCTGAGCCCCGGAGGTACCCTGGGGACCTGGCCCACGCCTTGCTCTCATTGTTTTGTCTGTTTAACAGGTTGAGGGACACCAGCGGTGACTGGACTTCCAAGGACAAGTTTTGCTGATGGGACACATGTGGAAACACCTTTAAGGAAAAGCAGGCCTTTTTTAATTGTGCTAAAGCAGAAAGTGGAGAAAAGTCTGCCACAGGGTGTGGGAGCCCCCATGGCCTCTGCCTGAGGCCGTGCCCTGGGCAGACTTTGCGGGGGGGCAGGGGCGCCTCCTGGAGCCCCCCTCGCCCAGCCCGGGGTACCTGGGGCTACGCTGAGCTTCGGGGGCCTGTGAGCGCCTTGGCAGACTGTGGCTTCCGCCCGTCCCGTCCAGCAGGGCCCATCCAGGCCCCTCTTCACGGCTGGTGGGCCGGTGGGCTACTTACCCCGTGTGGACGTACCGCACTTTGCTTCTCTGTCCATTCATCTGTCAACACCTTTGGGACGTCTCTAGTTTGGCCCTGTTAGGAATAAGGCTGCCAGGAGCACCCATGCGAAGGAAAAGCAGCCAGTCCCAGAACATTAAGGGCCATAAGTTACTGTCAAAGGGCCTGAGCACGTGAGCGCAGGTGTCCCTCGGGGCGGGGGCGGCCTGGATCCACAGAGAGGCTCCTCCCTGTGGAGCATCCGCCTGCCTGAGGGAGGGCGGCAGGGACGGCATGCTGCCCACGCTGCCGCCCGCCTCGGATGCTCAGGGAGGGCGCCAGGGGATCGCACCCCTGCCCGGGCCCCATGCACGGCCAGCCCCCAGCACCGCGTCAGCCAAGGAAGGACAGCCCCAGGGACGTGCCAGGGACCAGCCGAGGCTGTGCGAACACCCAGTACCTTCCCCAGGCCGCTGTCCAAGCGGGGCTCTGGTCTCTTCTCACGCTCTGGGGGGTTTGGGACTGGCCAGGCCTGTGGTGATTTGCTAAAGCCCCAGATCCTGCCAACGCGGAGACTGTGTTGTGCAGAATGGTGGGCGCCACCGTGGGCACAGGGACCGTGGGCACCGGGGACGTCCCCACTGGCTCACACACAGTGTTTCTAGTACAGTTGGTGCCTCTGAGGTTCCAGGTGCCTCAGCTGAGTGGACAAAAGTCCCGGCCGCCAGCCTTTCCACACGATGCCATAAAGGCCTGGGTGGCCTTGGGAACTGCTGGCCTTGTCCACGTGGCCCCGGCAGGGCTCTCATGGCCCAGTCCGACCCCCGTACAGATTCCGCCACAAGATGTCCCCGGGACACTGCTCACCAAGCACGGACCTCAGGGGACAGCCCAGAGCCCAGTGAGGGGCCAGCTGCCTGGGACCCCCCCGGGCCCCTCTGTGCCCCTCTGTGCCCCTCTGCTTGCGCCTTCCACAGGAAGCTGAGGGCCTGGGATGGGCCCTGGATCTGCGTCTGCCCACACCTCCTCTCTACCGTCTCCAGGGGCCAGGCCTGGCAGTCTACACACGCAGCCCACCTAGACATTCTGGAAGCATCTCTGGGTTTAGTAAGTCTCATGCTGGCTTGCAGTGCCCCGTCCCTTTGTCTGGGACACACACCTACCCCCATGGCTGTTTCTGTAAACACGGGGATCCTACCGAGTCACCAGGACTCTTGATGAGCTGACGACGGGGACATGTATGGGGCCTCCTCGGCGTCAAAGCCCAGGTCTCGGGGACAGAGCCTAGGCGGGGTGGCCGGCACCACCACGGCGGCTTCGCAGCCTCGGCAGCGGGTTCCGGGAGGGCTGCCGGCACAGGAACCCAGGGGGCTCGCCTCGGCACCCCCCGGCCTGTGAGGCGCACCATCCCACGGGCGCTCGCGAGGGCGGGTGTTGGCACCCCCCGCCTTGTGCGTTCAGGCTCCCGCGAGGAGGCCAGGTGCCTTCCGAGAGTCGCCTGACTGTTCTTTGCTGTTTGGCCTCAGCCTGTGGCTGCTTGGCCACAGACAGGAAAGGATTAGCCGAGGTTGGCCTTCTAGAATGACCACCCACAGCCCAGCTTTGCCTTTGGTGGTGTCAGCAGATGGGCGCCTCTTGCGGAGGGAGACAAGGGAGAGGAGAACAGCAGGGAGCAGACCACGCCTGGGGTTCCAGCATGTTCCAGGAGAACACCTCCAGCACGTGGCCTCTTGTGGGAGCCACGCGGGGGTGTGGCTTGGTGAGGCCACTCTCATTGTCTCACCTGACAGCCTCCCCCTGAGGAGCACCCGGAGTGTAGCTTTCTTGGCAGTTCCCCTCCCGTCTGAGGTTCAAGTGCCTGCAGCCTAAACAGAGCCTCTCCTTCTGACATTCGTCATGTGGAAATCCTTCTGGATGTGTCCCCCAACATCCGGTGAGCGGCTACAGGATGCCTGGGGGCCGGCATTGTCCCTCCCAAGTGCTGGAGGACACTCACCAGCGCCTCTGTCCCACAGGCCCTTGTGGGTGGGGGTAGGTGTCCCCAGGATGGGCCTCCATGAGCCCAGGTCCCCAGGGAGCCTGGGCAGTCTAGTGGGGTCTTTCCTCAAGAGGCCAGGGTGGTGGCTGAGGGGTGGTGTCTACTTTGGTGGCCCGGGTCAGACATCTGTCTGGTAGATCCAGAATGCTTCCGCTCCAGCAGACCAAGCTAGGCTTGATGGGGCTGCCTGTCAGCTCCACTTCCAGGACCCCAGAGTCACCAGTGCATGCCCATACCTCTGCAAGTCTGGTTGCTGGTGGCCCCGCTGCCACCACACAACCACGCCTACGTGGTCTTGGGCAGCTAAGGACCACTACTAGGCCTTGCCACTCCGAGACCCAGTGACTCCACTGCATTCAGAGACCTTTGCTCTGTGGCAGTGGCTCCAACGGACCTGCAGAGAAACCACAGAGCTCTCCACGGATGCTGGGCTCCCCTTGAGGATGTATTCCTCAAAGTCACAGGGAACAGCTCGACCCCTCCTGTGGAGCACGAACATGTCTCATGTGCTAAGTCCCCTCAAATACCCCAATCTCCCCAACCTCTTGGGTCACTCCCTCTGCAGCACTGGGGTGGTTTTGGCATCTCAGCCGTACTCCGCAAACCTGCCTCAGGTCGCTGTCCATGTCTCAACCAGGCAACCACACTCTGGGGCCCTTTCTAACTCCTTGACTGCAACAGTCCAGACCCTCTGTGAGTGGCCCTGTTTCCATGGATTTGGCCTGATGCGTTTCATATTCCTGCCACCTGGATCCCACACGTGTTCTCCAGATTTCTCTCTGCATGAAGTTCTTCTGGAGCGTAGCCACCTCATCACGGGCCACACTTTGTGCCTCACCCTTTGGGGCCTCCTGGGGCCTGAGTCTAGTTATAAGCAAAGCTGAGGTGGGGGGGAGGTGGTTCTGAGTGGCCCACAAGGACCCTGCCCCAGGGAGAGCCATGCTGGGTCCTTCAGGTAAAGGAGGTCTGACTTCTTTAGGCAGAGACCGTAGGGGGTTCTTCTGGCAAAAAAAGCCAGTGGAACAAAGGGGTTTGAGGCCTCTGGCTTCCTCGGTGACTGCCCACAGCCCCCACCCCAATTTCCAGGGTCCTATTCCTTCCCAATCAACAGCCGGCTTTAAAAGATGCCCTGATGGCTGGGCCCAGCCACGTGTGGAAGGAGACTCTGGACACACCACCTGCGTCAGCTGCTAATTCCCAGGTGCCCTGGGTGCACAGTGATGGCTGTGACTGCGTTGATGGCTGTGTCAGCCCCACTTATTCCTGCCATGCTTTCTATCCTGAAACCACCCTGGAGATGGCACTTTGCTGTCTTTGGTCTTCCCCTCTTTGGGGCAGCCCTCCCATGGATCCTGTGGTTGGCCTGGCCTTGAACCACGAGCCCACTTTGCCTTTGCCATCATCCACAGCCTACCCTCCTTCTGCCTTGTTTCCTTGAGGGGTCTGGTCACTTCTTTCTAGTGGTTCTGGCTTCAGCCCTGTGCATCAGGAGCTCCTAGCCATCCTTGGGGTGAGGACCCCCAAGGACTCAGCAGGACCTGGGGACCACGTTTGGTGTCCCCCCACTGGACGAGGGTCAACTGCCCTGCCTGGTGGAAGGTCTGAGGATAGCTCTCTGGAGTCAACCCTAAGGGAGAACCAAGGGTGTCATCTCAGAGAATTTGTGCCTTGAGCCTGTAGGTGTACATCTAGAGGTTTATTGTAAAGCAGCCCCAGGCTGGCCTCTCACCTGAGCCACAGATGCCCAGGTGTCTGGCCCAGTTACTCTTTGTAGACTGCAGAGTCACTGTCGTACAGATGCTGTATATCATGAAAGGAAACACGCCTTGTGCAGAAAATGAAGACTCCATGGACCAGGCACCTCTGGCAACTGGAGGAGGAGGAGAACTGTGACTGGCTAGTCCTCAGGGGTCCTGATGCACGGTTCCACATGTCTGGGTCAGGCCGAAGCATGGGCGCCCACCTCCCCACCCTCCGTATGTCCCAACAATGGAGCAGAGGAGTCAGTGCTGATTGGGTAGAGCGACCAGATGCTGATGCGCTGATCCCCAGACCCTGCGGCCAGCAAGCCATCAGTGGCAAAGGCCACGCAGTGGACGGTAGCACTGTGGAAGGACAGTACGGCCAGTGGCTTCATTGTCCGCCAGTGAAACACACGGACACGATGGTCCCAGCCCGCAGTGGCCAGGATCTTGCGGTCCGGCCGGATCTTGACATCAGCAATCCCAGGATTGGTGAGTTCATGAGTTCGGCACACCTATAAGTAAGAGCAGCACAGAGAACCATGAAGTGGCTTCTTAGACATGTCACAGGGGCTCCCACCCATGGACATCCCCAGCCTAGCAGCCAGAACAAGGAGTGAAATGTAGGCCACCAAGATGACTGTATGCTCCTGCAAACTTAGCCCCTGTCTCCCAGGAGCCAGGCACAGACCTGCTGAGGGGAGCAGCCTGACTACTGGGTTTGGCATAGTCCTTGGGTTATGACAGAGACTTTGAGCCCTTCCCTCAGAGAGCCCCGGGGGCCCCGCAGAGCTGCTCCTCTACACCAGGCCTGGGAACAATTTAGGGGCTACTCTGTTTCTTTCCCTATCAGCCCCTCAGGAGACACCTCAGTGGGCTGGGTCCTGGGGTCCCTCTCCATGGAAATACACTGCACTCTAGAATCTAAGCAAGAGGCATCCCCAGCTTGAGAGCGCATTTTTCCCTTCTGGGGAAATTCACCCACCCCACAGCATGAGGAGTATGAGAAACACAAAGTCCACCTTCAGAGAGGGGTTGAAGGGCCACCAAGAGGGGGAGCTGGTAGGTGCAGGCCGGGCCAGTAGGGGACAGTATTGAAGGTGCAGACCTGCAGAGCCTGCCACACTGGCCATGGCAGAAACCTTAGTCCCTAGCTCGGTTCCAAGAGGAGGGCAGGCAAAACAAAACAAGGAATTGCATGGGCGTGTTCTATCTACACAGAGGCACTGGGAGCCAACCTTCTTCTGGAGGCTGAGCACTCCCACGGTCAGTGTTGGGTGATGACCCCTCACCGACACACGCCTCCTGCAGCAGGTAGGGAATCAGAGCTGCCTTTGTGGTCACAGCCATTCATGGTTATATGGCACTGTCTCATGCATTGGAACCTGGCATCTCTGTCCCCACACACTAAATAACAAAGGCACTTTGCCATCATTGTGGCAATACACAGTAGCCACTTCCTTCTACTGATCCTGTGTTTGGCCTAGCCCTGCGCACCATGAGCTCCTGTCCCCCTGAAGTTGTCTTTGCAATCCCTCATCAGCACACCCTTTTCTCCTAATTCACTTCCTAATGGGGCCCTGGCAATCTCAGTTAAGAATCACTCATCTCGGGGATCCCTGGGTGGTTCAGCAGTTTAGTGCCTGCCTTTGGCCCAGGGCGTGATCCTGGAGTCCCAGGATCGAGTCCCACATTGGGCTCCCTGTGTGGGGCCTGCTTCTCCCTCTGCCTGTGTCTCTGCCTCTTTGTGTGTCTCTCATGAATAAATAAATAAAATCTTAAAAAAAAAAAAGAATCGCTCATCTCTGCAACGATAACACAAAGGAAAAGGAGAAAAGAAACATGGAAAAACAAATGGCAACATTTCTTGGAAGTGAACAAAAATTGTCACCAAGGATTTTTTGCTATAATTGAACAAAACAAAACCTCATGAAGCAATTACCTCTATAAAACAAAAACCTAAAGTAGCAAAACACAGAGGAGGAAAGCTGAACTCACAGAGCACAGGAGACAAGAGGAAGGCAGAACTCAGAGAACTGGAGGGGAATGGGAAATGACAGAAGGAGACTGGAATAAGACAGTAAGAGCAGTAATGATAAAAAGCAAGCAAAGTGAAAGGGAAACAGTTACAATGGACTGGAGAGAAAATAGCAGACGTGGAAGATAGCGGTGCTCTAACACCAGTGATATCGAAAATAAATTTTAATTTCTAGATAATTAAAGCCTTATGCTCCAGATCCAAAGACAAGACATAGGATGTCAGTGTTAAGATAGACCTTAGGAAAATCACTGGAATTAACAGCTAAAAAACCCGTTTTGGCAGTCAGGCAAAAAGATCATGTCAATTGTGAGGTAAGGTTTAGGCTGTCCTCAAAATGTTCCATGGCCACCTCTGTGCCAGCAGATATGGAGGCTATGAAGGGAGGCATGGTCCAAGAATTTTATATCCAGTCAAACTGCTGCTCAAGTATAAAAACAATAGACAAGCATTTTTGAACATGTAAGAACTTAAAGAATATGCTCCCGTAAGCTCTTCTTGAAGGACTGGAAGATTAACTCTGGTCTCATAAGAGATAACAAGAGAACTTTAGCAGATGACCTGGCAAAGCAAGGAATCTACTTACCAGTAGGATTAGATCTAAAACAATACGTGGACTATGGCTATAGAACCGGTTATGTAACTAACCGAAATATGGGAGGATAGTGAGAGAGATGTGATGTCTGTTAAATTCACTGATTTGCTCACCTTTTGTCATTTGGGGCCTACGATACAATAGTCAACCTCATACTTGTGAGATTATTTGACAACCCACTGTAAGTAATGACTAAACCATTACTTCTTTCCCCACTGCTGACACTAGATGCCATGTTTTCCTAGTATTTGCCCTTTTATTTCTCCACAAAAATATACTCAACAGATTTAAAATTAGATTCTGAAGTTAAATCCAAATCTGTGCTATGTGTAAGAGAGACCCCAAAAGAATGATTGGCAAAGATATACCAGGAGAGTGCAGACAAGAGAAATGGGGATCCAATGTCAGTAATAGGAAACACTGAATTTAGAGAAAAAAGCATGAAGATAGACTATGTACCATATTTATCAATGATAAAGGGTACAATTCACAATGAAGAGCTATGACTATTTTAGAGATAAATAGGCATATTATTCATGAAGCAAGAACAATAGAAATGTGGCTATAGCTATAATGGTATAACTGAGACCAGACCAGTCCTCATGCTATTAAACTTATCAAGCTGGACAAAATATATCAAGCAACCATGTCCAGGTCATGGACAATAGGTGGGGAGGGGCAGCTGATGACGTGAGCCCCCCCAAACAACACTCTAGCAGCAATCTGCCCAGGGAAACGTCCCCACTACGGAATCTACATGGTGCACAGAGGCCATGTGAAGCTGAGAGGCAGAGATCGGAGTGTGGGGGCAGTTAGAGCAGCTCAGTCTGTGGGGTGAGCCAGCAGCATGGAAGCAACTGGGAGATGGACTGAAGGCCGTGTCTGGGCTCCCGATCAGTCCTTGTGTGAGAGCTGGGCTGTGTATACTCCAGACACCACATGAGGTTTACCAGACAGTGACTACAGCAGGGTTAAATCGAACAGGAGATCAATAGTGATCGTGGGTCCAGTCAGCCTGAGACAAACGTTGCCTGACAACTCAGGACCAGCTAAGATCCCACAATGGTCTTGCTTTGGGAATAAGGAGCAAACCTTCAGGTAGGGTCTACTCTGGACCGACTGTAACAATGCCAGGGACGGAGCTCTGCACAGTCTGAAGGAGAGGCAGAGGAGCCTGGGAAAGACCCTGGGTTTTCCACATATCTGCTCCAACAGAGAATCAACCCAAGACTACCCAAGCTCAAGGTGAACAGCCAGTAACTGAACTGCCTGCAAGAACAAAAGCAAATATTCTTCAGAGCAAAAGATTAGAATTCTTCGTCTCTATCATGTATCACTTACAATGTTGAGCACACAAACAAAAATGTATTAGACATGCAAAGATGCAGGAATATATGACCCCCAGTCCACTGGGAAAAAAAGTAAATAGAAACTGGCCCAGAATGGCACAGATGTTGAACATATCAGACAAAGACTTTAAAGCAGCTATTTAAATATGTTCCAAAAAAATGAAAGAAAACGCATTCAAATAATTATAAGGAACAATTGCCCTGATGAGTGAACAGACAGGAATTATTAGCAGAAAAAAAATGGAGATTATAAAAAAGAATCAACCCAGAACAGCTAACATACTATGTTAAAGGAGAAGAACAAAGTCGGAGGCCTGACACTACCTGACTTCGGGACTTCCTATAAAGCTACAGTGGTCAAGACAGTGTGGTATTGATGAAAGAAGAGACAGATCAAAGAAACAGAATAGAGAGCCCAGAGATAGACCCACATAAATAGAGTCAACTCATCTTTGACAAAGGAGCAAAGGAAACATAATGAAGGAAAAGAGACTCTTTTTAACAAGCAGTGCTGGAAAAACTGGACATCCACGTGCAAAAATATGAATCTAGACAAAGACCTCACGCCTCTAATTCACAAAAAATAACTCAGAATGGATCACAGACCTGAATATAAAACGCAACATTATAAAAATCATAAAAGGTAACATAAGACAGAAATCTAGATGACCTTGGGCTTTGCAATGACATTTCAGATACACCCCCAAAGGCACAATCCATGAAAGAAAGGATTGATAAGCTGAGCTTCACTAAAATTAGGACTTTCTGCTCTGTGAAAGACACTGGCAAGAGAATGAGAAGGCAAGTGACAGAACAAGAGAAAATATTTGCAGAAGACACACCTGATAAAGGACTATTATCCAAAACATGCAATAAAACTCAACAATAAGAAAACAAACGACCTGATGAAAAAATGGGGGAAAGTGTGTAACACACACCTCATCAAAGATCACAGCAAGTAAGCATGTGAGAAGGGCCTCTGTCACACGTTACCGGGGAAATGAAGATTAGAAAAATGACCAGGATAACCCTGTATGTCAACTATACTTCAATAACAATAACCAAGAAAAAAATAGTCAGATACCCACTACACATTTGTCAGAATGGCCAAAATCCAGAACACTGACAACACCAAGTGCTGGCAAGGACATAGAGCCACAGGAACCCACATTCACTGCTGGCGGGAATGCAAAACACTATTGTCACTTTGGAAGACAGCTTGGTGGTGTCTTAACAAAACTAAATGTACTCTCACCATGTGATCTAGAAATTGCATGCTTTATATTGACCCAAAGGAGCCGAAACTTTATATCCATATAAAAACTGTAGGGTGGCCTGGGTGGCTCAGTCAGTGCTCAGTCAGTTAAGCATCTGACTCTTGATTTCAGCTCGGGTCATGACTTCAGGATCATGAAATTGAGCCCTGAGTCAAGCCCTATGCTGGGTGTGGAACCTGCTTAAGATTCTCTCTTCTCCCTCTCCCCCTTACCCCCAAATATTGCACATCAGTTTTATTCAGCTTTATTCATAATT